TTTCTACTGAAACTTTCAATTGGTTTACATTGATAAAATAAGAGGATATAATCAGACCTCAAAACTACAAGGTATACATAACTTGTATAGCTAAGCAATGATTCAGTGAATAGCTTATATACTTAGTGTCAACAATTTGAATAACTTATATGTATACTGATACTTTAATACTTACTTTTCAATGAAATGGTGACCTTACAAAGTAGGTAATGTAACAGGCCATAGCGTATATGGATAAGGATTTAATAACCTAGGGATACTGATTCAATAACGTATATGGAAACTGATTCAATAACGTATGATATGGATACCGATTTAATAAAGTAAGGATACGGATTCAATAATGTATATGGATACTGATTCAATAAAATATATAAGGATACTGATTCCAATCAATCAGTCAATCAATCAATATATGGATACAGATAGTCAACTGATTTTAGTCTCACCGTTTGCATTGCACTAGTGTGCACTAGAGCCCTGGCACACTGCAACTGAGCACGGCTAGAAGTCATCCCAGACCATCCCAGTTGCAGTGGGGGATTTAGGGGGGACTGAAGGTGCTGCAGCCCAGGGCGGCAGATTTTTAAGGGCAGCAAATGTTTTAAGTAAGTTGAATTTGAAATTTAAGAAATATATTGAGTTTAAATAAGAAAATAAACTTCATAACTAGAAAAGTAGTGTTGAAAATGAAACAGAAAAGTAACTACGTAGTCAGACGTACTGTTAATGATCAACTCTTTCCACATTCAACCTCCACTGATTGACCCATCATCACACATCTCTCAACCAAGATTCAATCCCGAAAACAGCCATGGACTCGTTCGAATCAACCAACAGCGAAGTGACTCGTTGAACAGATGCAAGCAACAGGTACAGTATCCAGTGTTTTGTTGTTGACATATACAAGTACATGCCAAGTACATGTACAAGACTAGTATGTACTGAATGGGATCAGTGGCTCAGTGCAGTCACAGTGATCTTAGGCGTTTCAATGTTTGAGGTAAAGTTTTATAGCCATTATTAAGTTATCATTCGGAGGTCAGGGTGTTGAAAATGTCTGGAACCAACATTATATCTCGTGAGTGGTTAAAGAAAAACAACTGATATTTTGTGTACGGATATACTATGGTTTTACCTATCTTTTAGTGCCTTATGAAAATTTTTACCACTTATAGGGAACGTCCTGTGGAGGATGCAGTAAAAAGTTTAAATGGAAGCCTATGGTAAATGATACATCATTTTAAAGGCCATTTTTTTCTGAGTAAGGAGCCACAAGTTTCATCTCAAAACGACCACCCTAGCAAAAATGGCGACTGTTTGAAATTTGAAAAACCACTTATAGGGAACGGAATTTTTAAATTTCAAACAGTCGCCATTTTCGCTAGGGTGGTCCTTTTGAGATGAAACTTGTGGCTCCTTACTCAGAAAAAAATGGCCTTTAAAATGATGTATCATTTACCATAGGCTTCAATGAAAACTTTTTACTGCATCCTCCACAGAACGTTCCCTATAAGTGGTTATTTAAATTTCAAACAGTCGTCATTTTTGCTAGGGTGGTCCTTTTGAGATGAAACTTGTGGCTCCTTACTCAGAAAAAAATGGCCTTTAAAATGATGTATCATTTACCATAGGCTTCCATTTAAACTTTTTACTGCATCCTCCACAGGACGTTCCCTATAAGTGGTAAAAATTTTCATAAGGCACCAAAAGATAGGTAAAACCATAGTATATCCGTACACAAAATATCATTTGTTTTTCTTTAACCACTCACCAGATATAATGTTGGTTCCAGACATTTTCAACACCCTGTATATATATATCAATGGCGGTAGGCTATCAAACTTATTATTTTATTTAAATAAAATTTTATTTGCATAGGCATTAGTTAAATAATTAACTAATTCTAAGAAACAATAAACTACCTTACTAAAGTTTTGTTTAAGGTGCGGAAACCCCCTAAAATTTCAGAAATATACGGAACAACTTTCTTAATACGCGGAGCACATCGCACACCAAGAAACAAGACATAATACGGATCTGGATCCTGGATCTTTTGGTTGAAACAATGGTCTTATTGGGGCGTGAGGAAGACAGGTCGGGGTTTATGCGGTTTTGTTTTGAGGCTGCATTACGTGTTTTAAAGTTAGGGTAAATTAGGAAGCTAAAGTGTAGGTTATAGGTAATCGGGGTTTTTTATTGATGTACGGAATAAGCTATTACCATAGGTCTCATGGTAAGACTTGGACCCGGGACCGATTTACTTTTTCAGTTTGATCCCTAGAGAAGCCAAAAACACCATCCGTTCAAATTCATATGTATGTACGTAAATATTATATTTGTGTCCGTTAGCACGATATAGCAAAAATTATCCAATTTTGATGAAATTTGGTACAAATGTGTAAACTTACGTTTATTCAAATTAGTTTGCGAACCAGCATGATCGGACCATGGGAACAGGGTTTTATAGGCGGAATTTATGGGGTAAAAATAGGTTTTTCTCGTTTTTGACCCTTAACTAAAAATTTCTTAAATTTTCTCTAGACCATTTTGAAGAGCTTAAAAAAAAATAATTTAGTATATTGAAATGCTTCTGTATGATTATTGGTTGCGGAGAAAATTGTAAATTTAAAATGTCCATGTTATTCTTATGGAGAATAAGTAAACTGTTGTAGTGCTTGTTTATGGATTTATTTGGATAAAAAAAAACACACTTTATTTATTACCTTCCCTGTAGGCAGCAAACCTAGGTACTCGTTAAACCTAATGTTATTTGAATAGATTTAATTGAAAATCAAATCAGACAAATGGAAATTCGCTTAGTTTGCAGGTTTGCTGCGGCAGGGGTTCCTCAGCTAGTAAAGGATAAAATGTTAATGAAATCCTAGAAAATGGTTAACGAAGCGATTTTCTAAAAAAATGTTATACCTTATTTTCTTCTTATTTTGATCCAATGAATCAATTCGTAAATTTTGTCCCTACCTTTTTTGAACACACTTGTATATGTGTGTGTCCGTTAGCAAAAATTATCAGATCTTAATGAAATTTAGTAAACACGTGTAAACCTACGTTTCTTCGAACAAGTTCGCGAACCAGTGTGGTCGGACCACGGCAACTGGGTTTTTAGAGGTGATTTAAGGGGTAAAAATTGGGATTTCTTATGTTTGACCCTCAAAACATGAAATTCCCTAATTTTTCTCTAAACTGTTTTGAAGATCTTAACCAAACAAATAATTTAGTGAATTGAAGTGTTTTTATAAGGTTACTAGTGTACATGTTGCTCGAATTCGAGCAATTGCAAAGTATTACAGGAGTTATTTCAAAACGAATAACGGTCATATTTACAATGAGTTTAAAAGAGCCAACTCAAAGATTACCGGTGTGTAACTCAGACTATGTTTATCTTCGTTATTGATAAACCTAAAGCATTCCAGCCGGTTTTCTCCTTCTCTAAATGCCTCGCTATACATGCAACACAGGTCATTGATAGAGGGCCAATTGAGAACGAAAAGTCGTTTTGGGGTAGGCCTAGTGTTAGGGCGCATTTTGTAACCTAATAGTTGAGATTGTCCAGGGTCAGGTGCTGATTGTGGATGAGTTAAACCTATTACGCGCCACTGTTCTGTAGCTGAGGTCGTTATCGCGATTACGCCTTCTGTCTGTTTCGTTGTCGTCGCGTCGGAGGCATTTAAAAGAATAAACAACAAATAAACAAATTATAGATACACAAAACAACGATAAACGCATAATTTTAACTTACAATCATGCTAACACGATCCGTCATGGCGACACAAAACAACGATAAATACACAAATTTAAGATACAACCATACTAACACGATCATCGATCTCTATTATCCGTCTTGGGGTTATGTTGACACAAACTCAAATAGTAAATAAATGTAGCCTACTCAATGCGTTTCATTGAATTGAAAAATAAATAACAGCAATTAAATTATACAGCTGATCAAAATGTAAACAATTATGTTCTCCATAAGGATAACATGGGAACTTTCAAAGCCACTGGGGCAGAGCTTAAGAGACGCTTTCAAAAATGTAAGGTCAGTTTGCAAATCTACGCGACGTGCTCTTTCCAATGAGACGTCAACTGTTAAAATCGGTTAAGAAATGGCGGAGGAGTTCAACCGACAAAGTTTCATGTAGCGTATTAATTATATAGATTGGTTACTGAGAAAATTCAAAACATTGTAAATTTAAAACTCCTATATGTTATTATTACGGAGAGTACATAAACTGTTGTAGTTTACTTGTTTATGATTATATTGAAACAAGACAAATTTATTTATTTTAAACTAGGCTATTAATATATTAATACAAACTCACTTTATTAATCTCCCTGTAGCAGCAAACCTAGGTAATCATGAAACCTAATGTTATTGAAATTGATTTAATAATTGAAAATCAAATCAGGGAAATGGAAACTCACTTAATCTGCAGGTTTGCTGTGGTGGGGGTATTTGGCCTATTCCATGAAATGCAGAGACGGTAATGCAACCTTTGATTGCAAGGAAAGTGAATTGGTTGCTGCAGATCTCTAGAAGGAGTTGAGAACACAAAACACTGAAAGATTTTTTTAAATTTAAGCTTAAAAACGGCCGCCATTTTGAAACGACTTGATCAAACTCGACCATTGACAACCTAGGTCGAGATAATGTATTGAAGTACTTGTGTGCCAAATTTCATAAAAATCGGTTCAGGCATTCGGTCATTATAGCCAATTTATGGCGACCCAGCATCCTCTTACAGCCGCCATCTTGATGACGTCATTACTGACGACCAAGGTCCTTAAAAATTGGGGTCTGGGAGGTTTTAGGTTCAGAAACTTGTATACTATAACCACCTAAAATTGCAGCCTCCCCGCCAGAACCGAAATATTTTCCTCTTACCCAACCTGACTACTTAACTTATTTCAATATGGAAATAAAACTTCAAATTACAAAAAAAATACTGATTTTGAAACACAATGAACATCATCAACAATGACATTACAAATTTTATTTATATTTTAATATAGCTTGGTCTACAACTTAGGTTATTAACAAAAAATATACATGAACTCATTTATACACAAAGATACAATATCAGCACAGTCATATTTACAAATGGATATTTATTAGATAAAACCAGAATTTAAGCAGGAATGTGTCTGGCACACAGAATATTTCACTAATATAGTCATGTACAATATGAGATGTTTCTGAAACTGAAGACATTCTGACTCTGAGATTGCATAGTATAATTAGTGGCAACCTAGATTATGACAAATTTGTAAAATCAAAGTGATGGATATTTCTGTATCAACTGTTGATGTAACATTCATTTAGTGGTACAAAAATACCTGAAAAGTCAATTGTATACCCCAATTACACAATAAGATACTTAATTCACTTTATCAATTTGCAATGTGTATAACCTTTGACTATTATCCAATAGTCAATGCTATGACCAAATAAATCATCAATTCAAGCAGTAGAAAATTACTTATCAAGGTTAATGATGATAATTAACTACTGTATATATCACAATTGAAACCAGTCATATGACCAAAAGTGAGGTGAGTGCACCCAGTGAATAACCATTTCATATCAAAAACATTATATTAAGCTCTCTAAATAGGAGGCTAACTTTGAAGCCTAATTGAAATCCACCCTGTCAATGGTTCATAAAGAAATTGGTGTCAATCATCCGTTTGTAACACAAACAAAATTAAGTGTTGCAACGATTTCATCTTCAAGTTTCAAATTGTAGCGTCTTGTACAAACTAAGTTGGTTGTATTAGACATGGTTCTTTAATAATTGATTAAACTGCAATATATTGTAAGTAGTTCACAGTAAACATGTTAAGCTACAATTCTCTATTCATTTTAAGATAAAAATCCTGACCAACAATTATTTTGACAGTCGGTCATTTACTGGATTACAACTTTTTGTATAACCTGTCAATGATGGTTTCGGTGATTACCAAATTTGGATCGGACAACACAGATTCAACATGTCGTCTGGAATCTTTCTGAAATGTTTTCTGAAGGATCAAGTGCCTGCTGGAAACTCAAGATATCATAATGTGGATACACTATAACTAGAATTTCCCCACAGGTAGATGATAAGTGGCCATTCACTAGATTCTATATTCTAAGGATCCTGAAATGTTTATTTTTAACACTATACAGGGTTCTTCAACAGGTTAGCTTCAACATGAGAATTGTAAATGGGTTATTTCGTGACAGGAGGTAGGGTTTGTATAGTTTAAAATTGTATATAAATATGGTCATTCACTGGTACACTCACCCTGGCCAATTTTCATAAATTCAGAACAACTGTGGCAAACAAAATCATATAACAAGTAAACGTTTTTAGTTGTTGCAAACAACACATTAAACAGTTTCAGTGTAACATCAATGAAAGTGTACAGACTATATAAAACAAACAAAAAAATAGTTGGAATTACTGAATCTTTGTAATTGTTCATAGTGATATTTGTCTACATATTGTGATATATTCATGAAAACTATATATTGCACAATTTGTGAGCTTGTATACGGCTAAAAGGTATTTACAGGAGCACCTTGGTATTTTGGTCTATTACTATGACAACTAAAATATCAAAAAAATATTTTACTTTAACTTTAACAAGTTTTAAACTGTAATGTAAAACTTTTCTTACAAAATCTATAAACAGTATAGACTAACAAAAAAAAAACTATACAGTAACATAAAAGTATAAAAATTATAACATTAATATAATTGGTTTTGAGTTCACACTTTAAAAGTATTTTTTTGAAATATTTGTTTTCTTACCGTAGCAAAATTATACTATAAAACTCAAACTAATATCAAAGTTCTTTATTGATGCAAAATCAGAAATCATTTTATATCCTTTTCACTTAACCATTTTCGTCACAGAGAGTATTGGGCGTTCGAAACAACTACAGATCATTTACGTTTTTTAAATGGGAAATGTTTTTGTACAGAAGAGCTTCCGTGTTTACTATCACCTGAGGCCGTGGTCGTTGTAGTGAGCCGTGTGGCGAGGATCCGTGGGTTTCTTGTACAGTTCGAAGGCACTGCCACGTTGATCTCGGTGTGCCAGGTCTAGCCCACTAGGCTCACGGTGGTGATGCGAGTGCCGAGATGTTGTGTGAGGCACCACATTATAGTAGTACTGGTGATGGTTGCCGTTGGTCCTGCCGTAGGTTCGATCCAAGCTGCTGCCGTGGCCAGAGTCTAGCCCTCCGTTGAGATCCGAGTTGTCAGTAGAGTACTTGCTCGGAGAGTTTGTCACCTGAGAAATCATTTAACATGAGATCAGTTTTCTGGAGAGCAAACTGGCATGGAGATATTGAATCTTTGCAATTTATGCAGTGATATTGGTGATCATATTGTGGTCTGAAAACTATCTATTGCACATCTGGAGAATTAGTATCAGGCTAAAATGTATTTACTGTACAGGAGCACCTTTGTATTTTGGTCTGTTAGGATGGGAACTAAAAGATGGCATCATGACATTATCCCACCAAGAAAAGCTTATAATTCAGGAGTTAAAAGAAAAAGTGAATGCTTGATGAAGTAGAAGTCATTTCAAAAATTGTCTAAAAGCAATTTTAGTCAATAAGAACTGAATAACTAAAACTAAAAACAATTGTTAATATCTTAACCGGCCGACCCCCTTCATATTTACGTTTGGAACCATTGCTGCCACTTGTGCATTATGAGTTCATTGTAATAGCATTTTTGAGTTTCACATAAATAAATATTTCTAAATCTGTTCTATACAAAATTGAAATACAGTATAATTTTAATACACAAAGGCAAATATGACTTAATACATCTATTTTTGTAAAATATTGTATCCTTATTTGATGAATGTGGGCCCTAAATTGGGATTGTCCTTAGAACAGGGGTCTGAAATGGACTGGTTATGAAAGTCCAAAAAAACTAAAAAAAATTATAAATAAGTCATTACATTTATTGTGTTAAAAAATAAGGTTTTAGTGTCTAATAACTAATTAAAACATTTTACGCCACACTACACTGTTTTAACGAACTTCCCACGCAAGGATATAGTCCAGAAAACAGCTGTTTGCCACCAGCTTAATCAAATGGGGTTTCATTACGTTCTACTGTACTGTAATGAGTTTTTACCAACCAGATGATTATGTTATATTTGATGGCAATGGGTGGTTATAAACCTAAACATAACCACTAGTTATGAGTAGTGATTTTTTAGTACTTTAGTTGATGGGAATACAAAAGGATTTGTACAGATTTGTTTATTGTTAAGTTAGCTTAGAGTAGTATGGCATATATAATATCGTACGGTACTCGTGCAAAATGTGTTTACCAAGCTCGTATGTTAATCCCGCACTCGACTTAGTCTCGCACGGGAACGACCACACTCGTGCGATAAACACCTATTTTCAGGACTTGTAACGTAATATACTATTACAAGTGGCACATGTGTTTGCAAATACCTGATTAAGCATATTAGTAGTATGATTTTTAATTTTTTCTTTCTGGCGATTTTCTTAAATGAAGGAAAAGATTGTATGGTAAATTACGTAAAATTAATTGGGAAAGGGGGGAGAGAACTGTTCAGTTAAACAATTTTTCTGATATACCCTAAGACATTTATTCTTTGAGAACAAAAAATAAGGTTTTGATGCACTACAGTAAATTAAAATAAAACTATTAGAGTTATAAAGAGTTCATTTTTTAAATACTGTACTGTATTATGTAAGGTTCAGGTACAGAACTTTACAGTTAGACAGCTTATTTTACAACAAACCACAGCTTTTTTTTATTAGAGACAAAAATATTTTACATTTTTTGAGCTTTCTGCTATTGATTATTGTATGATCTATGACATTTTCTAAGACGAACTACGTAAAGAAATATTTATTTATTTATTTATGTGCTAACAGGGTGTACGATTTATAGTTTCCTATGATAAGAAGAAACCACTCCCTTCGAATTATAGGATGTTTTGCCGGTGTATCTTCGAATTACTGCATATCCAAATTGAATATTAGTTATTAGTCTTTAGTTCCTGCTTGGACTTCGATATAGCGAGTGTATAAAAATGTATTGTTAATACTAGTGATGGGTCAGTACCAATTTTTCAATGTCGGTACTGGTTCCTAACCAAAGTTGGTTCTCAGTTCTCGGTTCCAGTACCTCATTTTAAATTAGGCTACTATTTGTTTCATTTTTGAAACAAAATACAGTATCCCTATTTCAACTTTTAAAACTGATTATTTTTAATTAGTGTAGGATTGTTATTTAAAGGGTTAAGAAAATAAAACCTAGGCCTAGGCCTAGGCATATTTGTACAAAAAACACTTTAACAACCATACTCATTCAAATCAAAACAATATATACCATTCCAGGAGTGTTAAATATAAGCTAGGCCTATTTGTTGAAATGATTCACTGCTAAACCAATAAATTTAACATAGGCTACTAAGTGCCTGTTAAGATCTAGCCAAATATTTAGAAGGAAGTCATTTTTAGTCCTTTTCTACCTATCTATAGCCTGCATTAAGTTAATTTTAGGCTCCAGTATTAACCCTAGGACTGCCTTTCACCGTTTCGACGGCGGTTTCATGTGTGCGCTCGGTGCCCAACCGCCATTTGCCAACAGTTCGGACATTTTTATTTCAAATGCTTTTTACGAAATAAAAATGATCCAGAAGCGTAATAATTTGTATACCGTTAGAAAGAGGAGATTCTTACTTTTTTTTCATATATAAACGAACCTTGTAGCACTAACAGATCAATATAACTGTTATCAAAATTTGAACAATATTTAGTACGCGCAACATTTTTTAGGCCGCGACTAACCAAAACTCGTAAAACTCGTTATCTTGAAAAAAATCTACAAGTCTTAATTTTTGCCTAAACAGGAAGTGGTTGGTACCATTGGAAAGAGCTTGAGTTGTTCTTTATTTTCGTATAGAGAACTTTGTCATATGACGTTAGGAAGTCTGAGAAATATTTTTTTGAAATCAGCTGTTTTGTCAGTTGGCTGTTTTGCCCAAGAACCCGTGGAACCAACATTTGACGTTAAGTACCGACCCATGACTACTTTGAAAAATGAAGAGATTCTTTAGGGACTGAGCTTTTTTCTTTGAATTTTTAAAAGTTTTGATTTATTGAGTTTTTGAATTACTAAGAGCAGACTGTATTGATCAAACTTTTACTACAATTTTAGGTTTTAGTTTTTACTAGAGAAAATAAAACCACTTATGACCTTCAACCATCCACTTATGAAAGTAGTCCGATAAAAATTGTAATAACTCCTTGTAACTCTTGTACAATTTTAAAGAAATATGGAAACGTGTATTAATTTTCATCTGAGGCCCCTTTTATCTAGCGCCTTGGGCGACACCTGCCAGGCAAACGTTCTGCCACGCAACAAAAAATAATTAATCGAAAAATGACGTTCATCTAGTGGTTGCTTGACGGAAGTTGGGCGGGAGTAGCAGATTAAGCCACTATAGTCAGTTCATATACATAACGATCAAAAAGTAAATAGGAAAGAGATGTCTACTTTTATCAGTAGACAAAGCTGTAAGAAGAACCATGAAGTCCTAAGTTTTCCACAATACAAGAACATTTTGTTTAATTTCTTCTCATACAATTATGATTCTGTTAATCTGTTTAGGCCTCAAGTAGTTGAAAAAAAATTAATTATAATAATTATTATATGATAAGCAGGTGTTCCCCACTGTATCTAGTATCACAACATCATCTGACTACATTCATTATTGATCCAAATTTTTACAATATTTGTCTTATTCTTATATTCTGCTGCCATAACATTAATGTACTTTTAAATAAATCAATTTGTTAAAATTCGTTTTAGAATGTTTTATACTTAAACTCAACGAATGCCCAACGAAGGCCCAACGATTCTTTCCTTTGTAGGGCCAACGAATACCAGTTTCCGTTGGGCCAACGTTGGCAAATCGTTAAAATTTCTGCCAACCATTTCCCAACCGTGCCGACCATTCCCCAACGATGTGTGCTACTTGGGTTGTACACATTGACAATAAATACTGACCCCATTGTGAAGGTGAGTAGCGTAGTTGTTGTTGTCAGCCATGCTGAACGACTTGGTGTGGTTGTAGATATTGTTGTTGTTGTTGTTGTTGTTGTTGGAGGGTTGTTGCCAAGAGGTGCCAGGTGGCCGGTAGTTCTTGGGCTTGGGAGGAGGGATAGGCTTGTAGCCAGGTGGGGGGCCCCCACTCTTGGGTGGAGGGAGGGGTTTACTGGTAGCATACTCGGGGCCTACTCCAGGGGGCCTGAAACACACAGTGCTGCTTCTACTAACAATACTCAACTCAGTGCTGCCAACATTACATCAACACCACAATCAGCATATATACAAGGCAAACTGGTATACATTGTTATCATAGTTAATACTCCTGTACCTTTAATGAATTACCTATACATCCCTTTGTTTTGGATCATTAATAATTAATATTTTCTAGGAATAACCAGTTATTATATAAACCAACACATTTTTTGACTGGTATGAAATCCATTTGTTTGATAGTAAAATTCCGCAAGTAAAAAAAAGTCTTTCAAATAATTTACCCCGGATAAACATAAGAACCCCGGTTAACCGAAATCCGGTTTAACCGAAACGGTTCCATAAATTAATACAGGGCTAAAATATAAGTACAATAAGTAATATGTAAACAGAGAGGCCATTTCCTCTATAGTTCTGACTATGTTCTGACCCATTGGAACATGTTTGTTGCTGAAATAAAACACTGTATTATATAAGACATTGTTTTAAATTCATTTTTCCTACACACCGTGGTAAAACATAGGCTATTTTTAGCATTTGATAGGGTAACTGAAAAATTTGTTATTCAAAACGGCTCTCCCCCTTTATTTCGGTTAACCGGGGTTCCACTCTAACTTATATAGAATGAAACGATGCAATTTTAATCGATTACCAAAGTCCTAATACAAATAATGTATGTTAACTGACAGTTGGAATAATGAGGTAAAAAATTTAAGTGTACAGGTATGATAAATATGAGTTCTATTTTACATGTTAAAAATCACAGTTACAAACAACAGTAAGTATTACTAATATCTTAATAGACCAACAAGCAAAATAAACGTTTCAATTTATTGTGAATAATGAAATAAAAGATATGTACAAAGAAAATTATTTAACAGTACAAATAGGATGGGGAAAATAAAATAGAGGATCGTGCAAACTAGTAATAGTCTTAGGAAGTTAGGAACTAGATTAGACCATAGTTCTATGGGAGGATACAAATACTTGGGAGGCCCAAACCACAGGCAAGGCAGGCATGCTGTATGCAGGCTTCATAGCACGGGAGCGAACATTACACCAGCACCTGCTACATAACATAGACTAAAAGCTATTGCTGAACTTTGCACGGCCATAGAAGAGCGATTCAAAACAAAGAGAAAAGTTGAGCTCGAAGAAAATGTGGCTTTATTGTCATGATATTTGTTGTCACGGTCGACCCCACGTGGCATATTGAACACAAAATGTTCTGGAATAATTGAGTTGGGAATTGTTTCCACATTCATCACACAGTTTTTATCTTGCACTGAGTGATTGAGCACTCAATCAAGGTATTTTCACTATGGTGTTGTTGCTGGTTGAAGATGCAAGCAGCAGAAATTAGGAGGAAGAAATTGCCAAGCTCATTTAATGCTTTGATAAGTGATCTTCAAGGTAACTATGCTGAAAAGTTATGTTTAAATGTGGTTTCCAACTGTATACAATAAAAGATTGTCCCATACGTTTTGTTCATACAATACAACCCTGCGAATCCGACACTTAAAGGTCCGGGACTATGGTTGAAAAGTAAAAAGGTTGGATTATCCAAGGAGTATATAAAATGGTCAAATTAATTGCTTGACTGACATTTTGATCGTGCCCGATTACGCAAGGCAATGATAATGTCCTTTTGACGGTGGGAGACGTTATTTATTCTGCCAAGATCGCAGGGGACATTTAATATTTTGCATTATATTATCTCTGGAGACAACGATGATGTCTCCTTTCCCGCAGGAGATATGGAGTTGGCGCGATCGGAGATAACAACGATAGTTGAGGTAACAATCGCGGAAGATGATGATGTTCCCTTTACCGCATGGTACATTCAGGAGTTAGCCACGATCACAGATAGAACTTTAACAACAATACTCTTTCCGTGATTGCTGGAGACGATGGTGATGTCCCGGCGAGTTTAAGAGATGTTTAATATTTCACCGTGATCATTAAAGATGATGGTGATGTCTACACGACTGCGGGGGATGTTCAGAATTTGCTCATGATTGCTGAAGACGATTTTTCCAAGATTGTGGGATTTATTTGTCTAGGATTTTTTCCCGATTGCAGAAGATCGCCCATGACCATGGGAAACGTTCAATATTATGCCACTATAAGCTAAATGTTTCCGTAATAGTGGAAAACGATGATAATGTGATTGCGGGGGATAAACAGGATTTTTGCGGGAGACAATAATCTCCACAATACCATGGCAAATAGTCACGATATTACCGCAATAACATTGTACTGATAAGCGATGGCATTGTCCGATTAAGTGAGGAGTCGGACTAGACAAGGTCAGATCAGCGAGGTTCTACTGTATTTAAAATTCTAAAATGTAATCTACTTTCTGTATAGGCCTTGTATCTAAAAGAATTGAACTTTTAAGAAATGTGTAATTTTTTAATAACTTCCTCAACTGTAACAGTGTTGAAGCTGTAATTCAATGTTTTACTCTGTTCCATAACAGGAAAAATGTGGAGCTTACCGATACTTGGGGTAGTCTGGTGGCTTGGTAGGCTTGGCTGGGGACTCGAGAGGCTTTGCTTGTATGGGTTGCTGGGTGGAGCGGGTGAACCGGTAAGGATCATGAGAACTTGTCCGCTGGTTGCTGTTGGTGGTCCCGTTGCAAGACTTGAGGTCATCATGAGCGTTGGGGCCGAGGCCCAGTCTTTGGTTATAGCTGTCAAACGAGCTGACACTATCATAGCTCCCAGTACTCTGTGAAGAATATATTCAGTGTATGATGTAAGCATTAAATGTTTAGTGAAAATATTATACAACACTACCATAAAACAACCGTTTCAAGTCATTAAAACAACTTCCTAAGTTTTCAACTTCCTATCAGTTGATTAGTAATTTTAAGAACAGGTACCTCGTGATTTATTTTGCTAGGTACGTTTAAGTAAAAAATTGTTACAGATGAAGTAAAATTTACTTGTCCATAAAATAAAGACAATTACTCTACCAAGGGCATAAAAATGCATTTAATGTTACTTAATTGTTGAGAATTTTTTTTATTGAGCGAAGCGAAGCGAAGCTCTTTGGGATCAACTTCAATGCAATCTTTATAACACTTAATCTCAATTAACGGCTGAACATATTTTAGCCAAACTTACCAAGGTTGTTTTGTCAAATGATTGGATGGTTTGGACATAACCAATTTCATTTTTTGATAATGCCTATATTATTTTAAAGTAACTCAAAGTTTTTAAATTTTAACATTGGCCTTATGGGTTGCCATGTAAACAAAACAAAGAATCAAGCATATGGTAAAATCAAGCCACGGCCTAAACACAATACAAAGGAAAAAATTTGGATGATAACAACTGATCAAATAATACAGAGAAAGTCTTAGGTTAACATTTAAGTCGCAATTTGGAAACCACCACTGATCGAATGGGTACAGTCTCATACTTTCTTAGTACAGTATTTAACAGATTTGATTTACCTAGCTAAATAAGGTTACACAAATAACATTTGATCTTAAACAATTAATTTGTCGGTGAATCACATTCATAGACCCATCTCATGAATGGCAAACTTAAACAGGTCCACGACGTAGGAAGTGGTAAAGGAAGTAGTAAAGGCGAGAAATGCGGAGTGTGGAAAACTTTTGTGGCATGGCAGTTAGATAATTGAATCTAAAATACTAAAATGCTATGGGAAGGGGGAAAACAAGTCCTGTTGTGGTCATTGATAGAGGGCCCCAAAAGCTCCATTTACACAAAAAAAAGAAGAAAGAATAGGCTGGGGGAGGTGGTAAATGTTAAGGTACGGAGGCATTTAAAAGAAAAAACAATAAATAAACAAATTATAGCTACACAAAACAACGATAAATTCATAAATTTAAGTTACAATCATGCTAACAAGATCCGTCATAGCGACACAAAACAACGATAAATACACAAATTTAAGATACAACCATACTAACACGGTCCGTCTTGGGGGTTATGTTTACACAAACTCAAATAGTAAATAAATGTACTCAATGCGTTTCATTGAATTGAAGAATAAATAACAGCAATTAAATTATACTGCTGATCAAAATGTAAACAATCATGTTCTTCATAAGGATAACATGGGAACTTTCAAAGCCACTGGGGCAGAGCCCACGGGACTTTTTCAAAAATGTAAGGCCAGTTTGCAAATCTACGCAACACGCTCTTTCCAATGAGACGTCAACGGATACAATCGGTTAAGAAATGGCGGAGGAGTTCAACCGACAAAGTTTCATGCAGCGTATTAATTATATAGAAGCAATACTAAAATGTTATGGGAAGGGAGGGAAACAAGTCCAAGACTTAGGAAGTGGAGGAGGAAGTAGTAAAGGCGAGAAGTGCTGAGTGTGGGAACCGTTTGTTGCAGTTACATTAATGTATCTGTAATGCTATAATGCTATGGGAAGGAAGGGAAACAGGTCCACAACGTAAGAGATGGAATTAGTAAATTCTAGCAGTGCAGGAAGTGGTGAAGGAAGTAGTAAAAGCTAAAGGTACTGAGTGTGGAAACCTTTTGTGGCAGTTAGATTAATGTATTGGCAATCCTAAAATGCTATGGGAAGGGAGGGAAACAGGTCCATGACGTAGAATGTGGTGAAGGAAGAGGAAGAGACAATAGTGGACCCGCAAATTTCTCTAGGAACGTCCGTACTTTAGTGAAAATTTACTATCAGACCTTCAATTAGAATATGGCGCAGGATTTAGAAACTTTACAAGAATGACTACTACAGATTTTCAGGTTCTGTTAAAGGTTAAAGGCTTTGTTGGGCCAAAGATAACAAAGAAAGATTTTCATCCCTGAATTCCACGCTGAACACCAGTGGGTTTGGGTTGTGTCCGATCTCCTGTCTCTAGACACGTTAATTTTTAACGCTCATAACTTTAAAAAAGATTATCTTTTTGAAGTCAGGTCTGCAGTATTTAGTTGCATTAAAATGTACCCTTATTTTGATGCCAAAATCAAACTAAGCTTCCTTTACAAATTTACCAAAATCTCTACAGAACATCAATAGCAGTGCTGATATTCTGTAAAAACATAAACGCTTACTGAAAACCTAGTATACATACAATTTTGTTGTTGAAAGGTGAAAAGTTTGAGAACTATTACACAATTCTAAGATTATTTCTTCCCTGTATATCGAGCCACTCACAGTTTTGGTGGGGTTGTGCCTCTCTAAGGAGGAAGGGCCCTGTCGGTGGTGGGGGGTGGCGTTGATGTAGTTAGGAGGGTCTTGGGGCTCCTTGTTGCCAAAGAGTCTCTCTTGGGCAGAACGAGGCGCCGCAGTTCGTGGAGGTTTACTGGCACGGTCAATACGAGGTGGTAGCTCAGGCGGCGCACCTATCCCTAGCGGGCTCTGTGGCGGGGAAAAGCCGTACTTGTCACCTGACCTGCGCGGCTTGTGGTTCACATCGTAAGTTGGCTGAAAACCCAATTAACAGTTAAGTCAAGTTCCAGCCTCCACAAATTAGTACTTATGGTAATTTTTATATGGATTATTATTAGGAAGGCCCTTACGTGGTTAGGAGGAACCTTACTAATGTTAAGTTGTTACTAGTTTTAGAATAAAAATGAGCGTAGTTGATTGAGCCAATGACATAGTGTGATAGTAAAAATTACAGATTTCTGTCAAATACAGCAAATTTTTAACCAAGCTATAGCATCTTTTATGTTACATCAACTATCATAGTAATAACTAATTTGAGATGAAAGTATAACTTTAGACTGTAACCCACTGCGTGAATAGAAAAAGTACAGAAAACCTCAAAGGGTATTTAAATAGAAAACAAACTGGCAATTTTAAGGGAATATTTTAGTAGAAATCCAGCCATGTCCAGAAAATTAGCTTAGCCTGCAGATTCGCTGCAGCGGGGGTGTTTTATTTTTCTTGTTTAGACCGGTGAAATTTTCAGAGGATTGTAGAGAGAGTATATTTTTAATCGATATATACTTGATGTTGTATAGTTTGATAGGGTCATTACTCATTAACTTAATTTACCAACGCCAAAGTAACATGATATAGGATATATAATGATTGGACTATACCTACCTTAAGCTTTGACCAACAAGAGATGGTTCATTTAAGATTTAACAAAATATAGGACCAGCTATCGTACTTCTGTAAAAAGTAATCATTCAGTAATTAATCATGCACATTAATTTGTTCTATATTCACACCTGACTCACCTTTGCCTTAAACTACACACCATTTTAGGTCTACAATATTATTGTTCACATTATCAGGATTTAGTTCAACAATAATGTTGAGTAAAGATTTATGAATTGTAAACGTAGAGATAATTAGTATTTCTAGGTACCTGGTTGTATTGGTGCGCTGGGGTATATGGAGGTGGAGGTGGTTGATTGTCTTCCTGTGTAGCGATGCTGGGGTCGCTGGAGCACTTGACCAAGCGAGGGGGCAGCGAGCCCTGCTCTAGATCACTCTCAGGCGACGAGGCGTACGAGAGTCGCAGCGACGTCATCGGGAACAGGAAGTCATCAGAGAGAGCTTCATCGGGCTGGGGGAACAGAGAGGTTAGCTCACACAGGGACATGCACAGACACACACAGGACAACACAGTGGCAGCAGTGGCTAGGAGTGTCAGTTATGAGGAACGTTCAGTGATATTTATACAGCAAATTTACAATAGTAAAGGCATGAAGCTGTGAGGTGTTTCGTAATTAGACTTAGGATATGTGTAACTAAACAAATTCAAATTACTGAGATCAAGGTTTTTTTAAGTAATGCCACAAGTCTAGGCATTAGTGAGTCAAAATGTAATTTAAGTTCCAAACACCAAGCTGTAAAATAAGTATAAAATTAGTAGTTTAGGTAGTGATGAAGAAGGTAAATGTTTTCATAAAGAAGATGTGTATTAAATACTGTAAGTAAATGTTATTTATTTATTAAACTTTATGTGGACTGAATTAAACAGAAAACTTGTATTTTAACATATATATGCAAAATGTATCTATCAAAAAGGTACACACTAGATAGTAACAAGACCAGGGTTTTGACCATTCCTTACAAAAAATGTTAAAAATACTAATGGCATAGATACACAAAATAAAACAAACTCATTTAGCCTCAAATATAAGTTTAAAAAGCTTGAAATTTGTTTACAAAATAAAGGTTTGAAATTTCATTTTTAAGATTGAAAAACAGGAAAATAACTTGTTAATAATTATTTGAGTGTGAAATTTCTACACTCAACCAAAAAAATATGTCATAAATGTCCAATTAAAAACTCATAGACAAAATGATAAAAAAATTTCAACCAACACTTCTAAGCACTTCAGCAATGGAATTTGATTACTAGAAATATTTAGTTTAAAGACATTTAATCTCAAATCATTTCTACAAATACACATTTTTTTCTTAGCTACATAAAAATTGACAAAACTAACCAGTAAACAGGTGAAATAATTGAACCAATAAAGTGTTTGTTGACTCTCTAAGAGAAAAGGCTGACAAGAATGCTTTTTGTAAAAAGGATTCCTGTCATTCTAGGTTTCCAAACTCAACGACAGTTTTGACTAGTAGGCCTATCTTGTATTTATTACGTCAATATTCTATTCGTTATTACAGTAACTCAACTTTTTTATGTGGAATTTATTTGTTCTCTGGTACTGGTACTATCTTATAAGGTACAAGTATTAATATATTCAATTTACTATACATTTTGGTCTGGGGTGTTAGCATTAAAAACCCAGGCTGGGGCTCAAATAAGACCTTGGAAAATCCAAGACTTCAGAGGAAAGTATGCCTAAATAGTTAAATAAGGTACTAATTACAAGTTCATTAGTCTACATCATAAAAAGTCACAAAAGTATAAAAATGTGAAAACTTAATTAACATAACAAATGTACATATACCATAGTTCAAGCCATGCTATTAGTTAAATGAAACCAAAGAACTGTTCAGTGATTAGATTGTTAGAGTAGCACATGGGAGAGGGAGAGTAGGAGGGGTAGTGTCTCACAGGGGATGGGAAGGGAGGGGGAGGTAGGTACAGATCTGAGAGGAACTCCACAGACTGAAAACAACACCATTACCACGGTTAGGATAGTAGAATAAATCTGCCACCATCAAACCACAGTTAGGATAGTAGAATAAATCTGCCACCATCAAACCACAGTTAGGATAGTAGAATAAATCTGCCACCATCAAACCACAGTTAGGCTACCATCATCACTACAAAGGCTCATCTCTCATGTGAGTATCTATAATATCAACATAAATAAAGTTCTAGCCAGCAAAATACACGGTTGTACAACAACTCATCTAAAAGAAAATCAGAGCCCCGCTAATCCATCCTAATTGGGGCCGGAACCTGTTTAGATTACCAAATATTTCAGATTAGCCTGAAGTGCAATAAAATTGCAATAAAAATCTAAACAATGTATTATCATGTCTTTAAATAGCTATACATTTCCCGTGCAATCACAACAACAATTTTATCGTTATCTCCTGGGGTCATGGCAACATAATGATTTACCGCAGTCACAGTAACATTGTTACCATCTTCTATAATCACAAGAACACTGTGTTTATCTACTGTGATTACATCTTCTATTATTCTTCCACACAACAATATACAGGGTGAGTTTTAATTGTCCCCCCCCAACTTTTTTCTACATTTTTTCAAATATCAATCCCAGACCACTTCCAAACATTGTTGGGTAGTAAGTACTTAATTTTGACAAGGTGGTCATTTCCGGCCGCCATCTTGGATCCGCTATATTGGATGCAAAATATATTTTTCAAATGTAAAGGTAGGGTCGTGACCCATTATTTCGATTTAAATTTTTACCCTGATTACAATGCCGCAAACCGTTAAAAAAAATCTTGATTCATTCCAAAGTTATGAGGGTTTTTTAAAACTTTATTTTTAGCCCATTTTAACATTTTGCATTTACAAACTAAGACCATAATCTCAAAATAGTGCTAGATAAAGATAAGTATACACTACCAGTCATTGTCGACCTATTTTCACTTGGTTATGTCAGATGTATTTTTTTCGGCCGCCATCTTGGATCCGCCATTTTGAAATGTGATAAATTATTTGAAATATGAAGGGTGTGTTGTGACCCATTATTTCGAACTACATTTTTAAGCTAAACTCAATGCCGCAATCCATTTTTTGTAATGAAGTTTTATTTATGATATATTGAAATTTTTTTGTAAAAAATGTCAATATTTCAAAACCAAAATATAAAAATGAAAAACGGATCATGGAATTCAATTCAGCTTAAAAAAGTAATCTGAAATGATGGTTCACAACACCCCCTTCATATTTAAAATAATTTATCACATTTCAAAATGGCGGATCCGAGATGGCGGCCGAATAAAATACATCTGTCATAACCAAGTGAAAATAGGTCGACAATGACTGGTAGTGTATACTTATTTTTATCTAGCACTATTTTGAGATTATGGTCTTAGTTTGTAAATGCACAATGTTAAAATGGGCTAGAAATAAAGTTTTAAAATAACCCTCATAACTTTGGAATGAATCAAGATTTTTTTTAACGGTTTGCGGCATTGTAATCAGGGTAGAAATGTAGTTCGAAATAATGGGTCATAACCCCACCTTTACATTTGAAAAACATATTTTGCATCCAATATGGCGGATCCAAGATGGCGGCCGGAAATGATCACCTTGTCAAAATTAAGTACTTACTACCCAACAATGTTTGGAAGTGGTCTGGGATTGATATTTGAAAAAATGTAGAAAAAAGTTGGGGGGGACAATTAAAACTCACCCTGTAGAATTATAGATTTGTCCTACTATAAGAGGACCAACAGAGTGCCCTCAATGAATGGATACTCGGCCATTGGCAATTATTCTTAAGTTTCTTAATTCCATATCAAAGTCACAGACTTTTCCCCAGTCATCAAAATGCACATATAATTGCTGGTTTTCTAGGTTCCCAATCAGCTAAGACACTGTTATTAGCATTTCAGAACACAGCTTTGTTAGCGGATGTCCCTACAGGGTAGAAGCTTTTACCGTAGGAAAGTCCTAGACCCGGGACCGATTTACTTTTTCATTTTAATGTCCCCAGAGGCTAAAAATACTAGTTTATGTGTGTATATAGATATATGTTTTCAAGAACACGATAACTTGAAGTAATTTTTGACAGACTTTCATGAAATTTGGCATGAATGTGTAGAGCTAGATCAAATTTATGAGTTCCGTGATGGAATGGCCTCTGGATCATCTGAATTAACTATATAGTGGTTTAAATTACCTTGTTACTGTTGAAACGATCCTTTGTCGGTTGAAAGAATGTCTTAATATAAATATTCCTCATGGTGGAGTTTGTAGAAAGTTAAATAAATACCCTAAGTAACAAACTACATAACACCAAACAAAACATTTAGTACTGGTCGACCAGACGGTAACAAAATACATGGTACGCGGTCGCGACTGTCACGTGTCCTCGGCTTGAATCCTGTCCTTACTCCTGTGTTATCCTTATCTCGCTCTTTTGTTGTCTGTTTATTGTGTATTTTAATAGCGGTGGTTAGATAATGTTTGATTGTGAATTTTTGTGTAATTGTGGTTGGAGGAAATAATATGGTTTGCGTATGCTGATTTGAAATTTCTCTTTGGCATATGTTCCTTGAACCAGGTAGAAAAAGATCTTGAAGTCTGACCTATGTAAAAATTGGGACAATCGTCACATTTTAATTTATATTTAACTTTGATATGGTAGATTTTAATGTGTTTAAACTTAAATTGGCTACTTGGGATGTATAATTGCTGCATGAAGATTTTCTTTACTTGAAAAACGTCCCATTACCTCAAAAATACTTAATGGAATGACTTAATGACAGGGGTTGATGTAGTATAACCAATCCATTCAGAAAATGAAAATTTGGTAAGACAATAAAAAATGGTATCATATCAAGAATTGAGAATCGATTTTTCAGGTATCGGTATCGAGGATCGATAAATTTTGGTATCGGCACATCACTAAAAGGAAGACTACTTGACATTCTTTCGACCTAATGGTGTGCTCCATTCGAACCATGAAACAGCTAGCTGTAGTCCTAACAAAACTACAAAGGATCGTTTCAACAGTAACATAAACCAGTAATTTAAATTCAGTGTTACTTTGATTGAGTTTGCTAACTAGCAAGCTCGAGTGAAGTGTAATAGAGCTTTGACATTTTTCAGTAATTGTTATTTTTTAATTTCAATATTTACCTTCAAAACATTTAAATGCCAAATTTTCATAGCAGCCTTCGTGTTAAGCTTAAAAACATAAATTCTTTTGCATTGTTGTATAACTAACACAGAAAACAACACAAACAACACACACAGGGAAAATTACCAGAAAACTGTACAGTAAAATTCTGATGTTATTCTTATGGGGGAGAAAACTGTTGCAGTTTGCTTGTTTATGGCAATATTTTGATCAAATTTTGCAAATTGATTTCTTTCATCCTATAATAATAACATTTGATATCATACACTGTATCAGCAAACCTAAGTACAGTATTTTTAAAATCTAATGTTATTTAAATAGGGAATAAATTTAACTTATTTATGGAAATATTTTAGGATAAATCAAATCAGACAAATTGAAATTTGCTTAGTCTGCAGGTCAGGGTTTTTTTATAATTTGATTACAACAACATTTTTTCCTAACAGGTAACTTAATTTGGATTAGCGGGACTCTGGTGTACAGCAAAAAGCAATCAAAGTAATAAAAAGACACATTAAAGATGTGTATAACAAACTATTAATTTTTAAAAATACATAAAGTGCATAAGATTATTTACTTATTCATAGTAGAATAGTAAATTAATATTCTGCACATCGAGTCATACAGGACTTTGAGTATTGTGTACAACAAACATTTATTCTGATAAATAACTAAATATGTGTGGTATAAAATATTTTGCTATACCAGTAATTGTAAAATACATTACTATTCTCCATATACCAAAAATATTATGGTTTAAAGTTAGCAACAAGATACACTTTGAAAGTGAAAGTATAGATAAGAAAATGTGGCTTTAACCACTCAACCATTGCCATAGCTCGGCCACCATTCTAGTAGCAGATTAGCATCCAAAAACCATCTTGTGATAACTAGTAGCAGGAAGTTTAAGTTTTACGTTGTTGTATTAATAGTCAAAGGTTTTACATTTTAAAAATACTTCACAGTCATTAAATTGTACCTGACCTTCATAAATACCTTCACGTTTGTTGTAAAGCAAGTTGAAAAAAGACTCTTATTCCTATAACTTGTCTACAATATTAGTTAGACTGGGTAAAGGTACAACTACCTTGCTTTCGCTCATCCAGACTGGTGATGTCTGCTGCTTGTCGATGAGCTCCCGGACTTTGCGGTACCAGCTGTCAGGGGAGGAGGGGGAGAGAGAGAGCGAACAAGAGAACACGTGACCCCAGACCTTCTCGAGCTTGTGGCACTGCTCAAACAGCTTCTTGCTGGACTTGTGAGCCGTCCTGCCACACAAACACACAATTGAATCACTGACAACCACACAGCGAACAAGCCTTATACACCATACATACAACACTTACCTTTGATCAAATATTTAGGATATCAGAATTAATTGTTCTCTTTATTTTATGTGGACATTTATGCCAGTATAACAAATAAAAACAATAATATTTATTTGTTATATCAAATGAATTTATCAAATATATCCATACAGGAAAAAACTTGCGTGTTAGATACCAATTAGATACCACAATTCTAGAGGGACCTCAGGTTGTATTTGATCTAATTAATAGTGTGCACGTCTATGTATTGGCGTTTGACATGTATGGATCTGTTGACAAACTACATCTGCAATGAAAAATGAAAATTTGTACCACTGGTTTGAATAAATAAATATTTGATTTGTCCATTGTTACCATTAAAAATCATCTGGCCCTAATAGTCACACTTAACTGATTCAATCTTTTCTTCTATAAGTCATAACTCAAAGGTACTTTAATTTGAGAGCTGATGATTGATTTTCCAAAGCCAAAAATTTGTATTCCGTGTGATGGTCACTCAAATTCATATGGCCCCAAAATAGGGAATATTATATTTATATCCAAGCATTACCCACCCGCCACCTGGCAGTGAAGCTGTTATTCCATTTTGTTAAAATGTTAATATCATTATCATATACCACATTCAGAAATTGGAGGGTTTCACTTTTTACTGTACAATAGTACAACATTTTGTTTTTGAGTTGCACAAGACCTTGTAATTACAAACATGAAATCAGCTTCTTATGGTTTAGATAAACAGAGGAGAATCGTAGCTTTAAAATATACTATAGCTGAACTGTTTCACTAAAAGGTAAGTTGGAAAGAGGAACCTAGAAGAATTTCATAAAAAACATTAAACAAGAATCTACACTACCTGTTTTATAAACTGAATGCATTTTTCAATATATTATGATATTTTGAAAATAGGGTACAATGAAAAATGCTAGCACAAATATGGGCCTATAGGTAGATAATTTAATTATACATATATGTGATTCAGTGTGCACTTCTAAGATCATTTCACATAGCTATTGATGTGCAAAGTTCAATTGATAGAAAATGCTGCAGTAATGGGTGGTAATAGCCTGATCTTGAAAATAAATATCGATACCTTTTACTGTCACACAAAAATCATTTGCAGTTTTTACTCGTCCATTACTAAGAGATTGACATTAAAAAAGAAACATGAGAAATTGTTTTACAATGAAGTATCATTGCATCAATTCCCTCAAATCTCAGGATGGCTAACATTGTGATTAAATCTCATGTTAACATGCTTGTTGGTTAGTAACAAAACATGTCTCATGGCAATATGTCTGCATTCACACCTCCTCCCATTGCAGAACACTTACCACGCAAACAAATCCATCACTGAGGGGTTGCTAGACATGAAAACAAAACAAACATTAACCAGAGCCCACCTACACTAGGGCTAACTAGGGCTCTAACATGGCTCCCACTTCAACACATGTTTTATAGGTTAGAAATAGGTCAAGAAGTAAGCTAATTCTACTTCAAATCTTTAGAGTAGGTAGTTAATTTATTACTGTATCTGTCAACTACGGTACATTATATGAACTGACCAATAATAAACGTGGTTACAGCTACAGCTTTTCTTAACTAATTTCTTTGCTTTAACACATTCGCCGCGGCCCATCAAACGGTGCGTCGCAGCGTCGAACAAACCCTATTGCCAGGTGATTGGCTTTCAAATATTTTGGTCAGACGAATAGCAAATCACGTGCGGTGATGTGCTGATAGGGGTCTCAATCCCGGGCCTTCAATCCAATCCCGGGATTTTGGGATTCTTCTTGGCTGATCCCAGGATCCCGGGATTATATTATTTTATGATTTTGACTTTTTAGCCGTTTTAAATGAGGGTGAAGTCTCCTTGCTGAGTCCTCTAATGTTTTATACCGGCCTTAAGAGTCCTTGGAGCCAAGACATTCCAATTCGTAAAACAATTAAAGAACCACAAAGACAATATGTTTAATCTCACAGTATACTAGATATTTAAATTACAATCCCTCTGAAGTTTGAAAAAAATATTTTGAGATGGTAAATAACTCTTCAGCGGCTGTTTGAAATTAGCCAAATTAACATTGCTCTTATGGCGGGTAAATCCAAGATGGCCGTTAGCTTCCATGGACTCCCTTGGAGAACAATTCAAAACTATAAAGAACATTTATAATCTCACAGAGTATACTAGATATTTAAATTATAATCACTTTGATGTTTGAATACATATATTTTTACAGTAAATAACTCTTTACTAGCTGTTTGAAATAATCCAAGATGGCCTCTACCCTCCAAGGACTCTTAACAGTGTTACGCTGTGCAATTTTGCCGTTTTTAAAGTAAAGAAATATCACCACACGGAAGTTTTATAGCCTGTCTTTCTTATTTACGGTGTATAAATAAGAAAGTGTTTAATGTTGATATGTCACTCTTGAATTAAATAAACACATTAAAAAAATTAAGAGCTAGGTACTGCACTTGCACGTAGTACATGTCACGCTAATATGGAAACTAAATTAATCAAAATATAAAGATAAAAAGATAATATGGGAAGAATCATGAGTTGCAGCGTTAAAATGTTATGTTGACTGACAGCAATAAAACAATCTGTACAAACAATAAACCATCTGCTTGTATAGTAACATGTATACAAAAAACTTAATAAAGGATTGTAAAAAATGTAATCACCACACTTAAAACTAAAAACAAAAATAAAGTTATAGACCATAAATAAGCAATTTTAATAATGAAATAATAATGATGTATTTTAAGATAATATTTATTTATGCCTTTAATGTTATTAACATTAAGAGAATAATACTTTAATTACCAATCGCCATGTTATGTTTACCACATCAATTGCGTTGTTTGTGTTAAATGACAAAAAGTCAAACTCATAATAAACCTATAGGCGTACTTAATGTAATACCATTAACAAAAGTAAATACAATTTGTCTAAAACCATGAAAAATAATATATTTACACTACGTTTGCCAATTGAATTTAATGATAATTAAAGTCCAATCAAAATAGGTCACAGTTTATATTTCATATATATTTATAGTTTATCTATATACCTAAAAATAAACAGTATTATGTGTTTCAAGTGTTATTGGGGGTATTTTTTATTTACTTTCCGTAAGTAAAACTCCTCAAATTCACAAAGAATTAATATAAACATAGGTTTTGCGATCCCGTTAGTCCCAGCATTAAAATACGTCAATCCTGGGATTTCTAGGACTCAAAAATCGCCTGGGATCCAGGGACTGGACCCCTATGTGCTGAGTTACGACGAGAGTCAACGTAGTTCGCTAAAACATCCACAGATAGCAGCACTGCTTGTAACGTAGCCAGTTCCAGTGTATTGCCAATTGGAAGGAAAAAGGCGGACAAATAGTTGATTTCTAAGCTTTCTAGACAGGGATTTGATTGGGAAGTTTACTGCCACCTGCACCACAATTATAGACTGGTATTAGAGACACAATACTAACACGTACCAACCATCCTCGGCAAGAGTCTGAATCACATTGACTAGGAAAATAATGCATTTCGCGCTGGGTCCCCGGTGACGTAGCCGCCTTGCACTGCAGCACGCCATGTGTCACCGGGGACCCAGCCGCAGCGAATATGTTAACACAAAAAAATCTTTGCAAATATTACTTCACTTGTGAATTGAAGCAATCGTATTAAGTCCAATATGCAATCTGAAAGGCTATCAAGTCGTCAAAAAGTACATCTTAAACTAATTTATCTGTCGTTTCCCATTTTAAAAGTATTAATCCTTCATAGAGTAATTTCCTAGTTTTATGTTGGTGATACCGTTATAAAAATAAACAATCTAATAAACTAGTTGTTGTTTTAAGACACTACCTACTTGCTCTTTAAAAAATATAATATAATCTAGTTAGGCTATTGCAAGTAGATTGAGTTCCAGATTTTTAAAAATTGTTATTTCTTATTTCCAAACCAAAACTAGATATTTAAAAAATGTTTATTTAATTGCATTAAATAAATACGGTAATGAAATGGTTTAAAATTTGTTTGGATGTTAAACAGCTTGAAAAGCACTACATTTATTAATTTTAGTTCTACAGAAAGACCTTAAGATTATGGACACAGACTATGAAGTTTCTACCACTCACAAATTAATGAAAGATGCTGCTAGACTTACTTGTTTACACCTGCCCTGAGCTCCTTGACGATCTGTTTGCTCTCTGCTCTAAGGAAGATGACGACAGGGTAGAACTGAGCGTAGTTGAGACGATCAACAGCGTTAGGTGTGATGTCAAGCAGTGCGTGCTTGCTTCTGTCCATGATCTCTCGTATGGCACTCAGGCGTATGATGCCACTAGATTTCTGACTCTTTGGCACATCTTCTAGGTTATTGTCTAGTTCTATAACAAATGTAATTCATTGAGAATTAATTTATGTATACAAGACTTTGAATACCTGTTTGTAATCTGAAAGAAAAAACATCAAAATTGACAATCGAGGGTTGTTGGAAGAGTTGCAGAAATAAAGCAGGTGAAGTAGTGGTTTGAAGTTGATGACCATAAATGTAAACAAGTTTACTGTTTTCAACTATATTTAGGTGTTTTTATTTACAGAAAAAAAAACAAAGAAGAAATAGAAGTACAAAATAGTTCAAGCCTTACAGACAGATGTGTTGTTGTAATTAGATTCAGGCAACAAACTCTTTTCTTCAAAATTTCTGTCACGACAAAACAATTATCATCTGTGCAGTCATAATTATTTATTTTCCACAACCTTCATTGATGGAATGGATCATAAGAAAAGGACCTTCGAATCCAAATAGAATTTGGAAAATTCACAGATCCCATTCTTATGTGTTTCAAAAGTTCAGTAGAACCCCTCATATCCGACCTTGGAATAACCGACTTCTTGGGATATCCGACGTTGTTTCCTGCCTGGGGCGATAACGCCTAGCGCGATCGGTTAGCCGAAAGGCCGATCATGGACGTCACCGTAATCACGGGATACTATCATTACTATTGCCGCGGTCGCGGGAGACGATTACTGAGGAGACTGCAAGTTCAATTCAACCACAGAAAACATATTACTCTCAAAACACTTAATGCTTTTTACCATGCAGTTGGCATTCTGGGTTATAGTAGTATGTTTTCTGTGATTCAACTCAGTTCAATTCAAAAAGACTTTATTCATCTCTTGTACATAGAAATACATTTCTTACATATAACAAAAAAAACCCGCCGCAGCAAACCTGCAGACTTGGTGAATTTCCATTAGCCTGATAAGATTTACACTGCAAGTTATGCTCACGGCTGTTGCCGCAGTCGCGTGAGACGATTATTGATGTCGCGAAGACTGCTGGTTATGCTCACCGCTGTTGTCATGGTCACGGGAGACGATTACCGAAGTTGCAGAGGCTGCAAGATACGCTCATGGCTGTGTGAGACAATCACCAATATCGTAAGGACTTCAGGTTATGCTTACAGGTGATGTTGCAGTCGATTACCAATGTCCAGGAGACTGCAGGTTATGCTCACCGCTGTTGTCATGGTCACGGGAGACGATTACCGAAGTTGCAGAGGCTGCAAGATACGCTCATGGCTGTGTGAGACAATCACCAATATCGTAAGGACTTCAGGTTATGCTTACAGGTGATGTTGCAGTCGATTACCAATGTCCAGGAGACTGCAGATTATGCTCACCGCTGTTGTCATGGTCACGGGAGACGATTACCGAAGTTGCAGAGGCTGCAAGATACGCTCACGGCTGTGTGAGACAATCACCAATATCGTAACGACTTCAGGTTATGCTTACAGGTGATGTTGCAGTCGATTACCAATGTCCAGGAGACTGCAGGTTATGCTCACCGCTGTTGTCATGGTCACGGGAGACGATTACCGAAGTTGCAGAGGCTGCAAGATACGCTCATGGCTGTGTGAGACAATCACCAATATCGTAAGGACTTCAGGTTATGCTTACAGGTGATGTTGCAGTCGATTACCAATGTCCAGGAGACTGCAGGTTATGCTCACCGCTGTTGTCATGGTCACGGGAGACGATTACCGAAGTTGCAGAGGCTGCAAGATACGCTCACGGCTGTGTGAGACAATCACCAATATCGTAAGGACTTCAGGTTATGCTTACAGGTGATGTTGCAGTCGCGAGAGTCGATTACCAATGTCCAGGAGACTGCAGGTTATGCTCCTCTCGATATCCGACTTTTTGGCCATTCCTAACATGGCCCAGTCCTGTTATGGTCGGATATGAGGGATTCTACTATATAAATCAGTCAAATTTATCTCTACCATCCAGGCCATACACTTTCTTTTTGCAATATGGCCAATAGCCAACATAATTATGTATATTAGTTTTTGTCCAAAAAGACTTACATTTTGTCAGGTACACAAAAATGTGCAAGTATTATATTTAAGTGGGTTTTGTTTAAAATTTTGTAAATTTACTTACGAGGGGAAGAAAATTTGTCAGGAAAGTCTTTGAGCAGTCTGTCTCGAGCAATATCAGCAACAGGACCAAATAGCACGACAGGGCGAACAAAGCCTGGGTGTCTCAGCACAACCCTCTCATAGGCCGGGAACTTGCTGATACTGTCTCCAAACACAACGTCATCCCAGTGGTCCTGCAACACACATATTGTAGTAAAACTGGCTTGACAGACCTCCCAAACAACCATGTATTGCACAAAAATACTATTCATACATTACAGGGAAAAATCTAATTTATTTTAATTGCGAGTTTCGTCAAATGAGCTGGGAACTCTCATGAAGACGCTAAATTACATTTTCTTATTTTTGTCACTTTATGATTTTTTTTAGATTGGTACTTTGACTTGATGATTTGGGTTTTGAATCTAGTATGGTAAAAAATATGATAGCAAAAACCTTATAGGGCATTATGTGAATCATGTTGTTTTTAGGACGGCTAGTGTCGCTAAAACTGCTTTTTGTAGTACACTAAAGTTCAAGTAATATGAACTAATTGGGACTAGACTCTGTTTGGATTACTAAATCGTTTGGATTAGTCGGAAATGCAGTAAAAGTGTGTAAAAAATAAAATAATGTATTTAAAAGCCTGCAATGGACACCTATTGCTCCTGTGACCACGACAATGCTTTGGTTGTCAGCCATGATCATGGAAAAACTGTGATTGTGATCCACGACAATCTATTACGATCACATTCTTCTTAAAACTCTACAACCTGAAGAGAGCACTTAAAATGGAATGCAGTAAGAAACTTAAAGGGTTAGAAGGGGGACACTTTTGGTGATTATTCAAAACTCCCAGTTCCATACAAAGAGTTCACTTACAATTTTCAAAATATTTCCTCTCATCAAAATTTTTGTAGGTATCATTCCTGGTTTTCCCGGTTTTCAGGTTGGATGGACACCCTGGTTAGTATTAGTAATAAGCCTACACCAACTTTTTCCCCAGCAGATGGTTAGGAGTAGAGCCGCATGAAACAAGGATTCCCCATACATTGTAAACATGGAATGCAGTATAAGCTGAGTTTTCATCAAAAAATAAAATAAATAAATAAAATAGTCATACATAGATATATGGAATATAAAATCCTTAACAAACAGGTTTATTTATGTATAATTTTATTATTGTATCACAAGTGTAAATTAGGAAGTAAAGGAACTTAACTACCTTGCTGAGGGACTTGGATCTGCGATGGCTGTTTCTCCTCCTACGGAAGAAGCTTCCTCGACTTTCTGAAGCTGTCAGCTCTTTCTTTGTGGCATTGAACTGTGCTGTTGCTAGCTCTTCTGCACGGGCCTTGTTTGGTATAATACCTTTCTGAACTTCTTGGTTATTCCTTCCTGCATAGAAGTATATACCATTAATACAAATCTTTAATTAATACAAATGAATATGGTGTGAATAAATCACACAATATAATTCTTTTTATAGTCTACCTTCATGTTCTTTGTTTTAACTGACTGCTTTTTTTATACTACTTTCGGTGAGTCCAGCCAAGGCGCCGCTAGAAAAACAGGCCGTGCTGCAGGGTCCATGACGTCACGCTAGTGGATAGATTTGTTGATAGATTCACTGAAATATCCCATATGTTTTAGCAGGTAAATAAGCTGTCTTTTTGTCAGATATTAACGGTAAGATTTTAATTCAACCATACACCACTGTGATGTAGTGTTGCGCTGCCCGCGCTGCAGAATGCCCTGTTTTTCTAGTGGGGCCTTGATCCAGCTCACAAGACCAACCAAACAAAGCCTAACTTTATTTGCTATGCTACCAACAAAAAAAAAGCAAAAGCATGACAAAATAAAACAAAATTTTAGCTGATTAGTTACACAGCTGCTTATTACTTCCTTCGAAGCCAAAAGCTTTTTTAATAAGATTCTAAAAAGCTTAGAAGAACATGCTCTGGAGCTAGTATAACATTTACAGGTATGCATCACTGTACAGACCTATCCTGTAGACCTGCCACGCTCCAACCACTCCGTTGTGGAGAGTGTCTGTTACATGGAAGACATCTCCTTTCCTGAAGCTCATTTCACCTTTGTTGGGTTGGTCGTAGTTGAAATGTGCTCTATAAACATAAAAAAAAAATATTAAAACATTGTAACTAAACAAATTTACTAAACTTAACATTATGACAGGCTGTTTTCGTTCAATTTTTGTTTCAACTACACCACCACACCTGTGTCAACAAAGATTTACTTACAAACTTCTATTTAGTTAGTTTCATATAGTTGCTACAATCGTAATCAACAAATTTCATAAATTTTTCCTATTAGTTTTGACCCTACCCAAGTAGCACACATCGTTGGCCCAACGTTGGGAAATGGTCGGCACGGTTGGGAAATGGTTGGCAGAAATTTTAACGATTCGCCAACGTTGGCCCAACGGAAACTTGTATTCGTTGGCCCTACAAAGGAAAGAATCGTTGGGCCTTCGTTGGGTTTAAGTATAAAACATTCTAAAACACATTTTAACGAATTGATTTATTTAAAATAACATAAATGTTATGGCAGCAGAATATAAGACAAATATATTGTAATAATTTGGATCTATAATAAAAAATGTAGTCAGATGATGTTGTGATACTAGATACAGTGGGGAAAACCTGCTTAACATGTAATAAATATGATAATTCCATTATTTTTAAACAATATTCTTTAATTTATTTGAGCAAATTTTTAATATAGGGGAAAGATTAATTAATTATATAACAATAAATTATAACAGTACTATAATGGTAATTAAATAACATATATTCAAATATTAGTATCCTCTCCAACTAACAGAAAAATAATTCAACTACTTGAGGCCCAAACAGATTAACAGAATAATATTATACTGTAGTATCAAAAATATTTTAAGTATTGTCACCATTGCACCTGTCGGCTACTCTTTGACCACTTGAAAACACTCATAATCATCAAGCACAGATAGCTCAGAGGTAAGGTATGGGGCTCACAAGTCGAAGGTACCGGATTCAAAACCCGTTTGGGCCAAAAAACTTTATCTCTTTTTTTTCAAAATTAGTTTTTATGAACTATTTAATCAATTTACTCAACTCATAATTATGTTTTTCATACTAAATCTTTATTATTTTGTGTTTTTTATGTTTAGGCCCAATGGGATGGTTGGCCCTTCCGCAAAAATTGGTTGGTTGGCCAACCGTAAGACTGAGTGCCAAAACATACCGTTGGCCAACGATCGACAGAAACGTTGGGCCAACGATTTGCCAACGATTTTTGCTACTTGGGTATACAAACGAATAACAAAGTCATCATTGGCTTTGCCACTTTACTGTAAAGATCGCTGTAAATGTCTCTGGTTATTCATACACAAATGTTAATAGAATAAAAGGAAACTCACTTGATGTGGAAGGAGTCACCTCGTTGACTAGCTACTATCTGTTCGTATTCGTCTCGTCGGTGCTGCACTATCAGATGGATCTGGTCCTGGAGGCTAAGCAGAAACAACACAGCTTCTTCTCGTGTAACTCCCTTCATGTCCATGTCGTTCACCTGGCATCAACAACGATGATGAGTAAGTTAAGGCTATTTTAACTAGGTTTTATGATCTTTTAACCCGAACCCATTTGTATTACTCATTCAAAATTATGAATTAAATTTCACATAATTAGTTAAGAACTGTAGCCTTTAGCCACACGGTAAGATTGTCATTATTGTTGATAAAATATAGGTTACAATATTTCCCTTCTTAGTTGTGATCTTTTTCAATCATAATTTGTTTGCTAGAAGAGTTACATTTTATCCGTACGGTATTTGTAATGTGCTTTTAGATGATTTGTTGACTAACATTTTTATATTGCGACTCTTGTTTACCTTTTTATTATTATTTCGCAAATAATGTTACAGCAACCATTAACCAACCATGCCATAAGGCCCATGTTAAATTTCCAAAAGTTTAAATTCACGTAGGGAAGAGCCCTGTGGTACAATTTGTACCATTTCAGATGTATATATTCCCATGGTTGGTTCTATGATTGTGCTAAATTTCGTGCAGATCGCTTCAGCCGTTCAGGAGGAGTGTTTGTAAAACAAAAGCTGGAGTGTAGTATAAGAGCTTTACCCGCTCAAAGATTACCCGCAGCAAGGGATGTGAGAAAGAATACTCGACAGACAGACAAAGCGTTGGTAACCTTGAATGGCAATGAATGTCGTAGGAACACTCGACAATTAAAACCTCTCGTCGGCCCGCGCTGTATGTCCAGGCTGCAATCGCAATAATGCCTACCTAGTCCAGGGCCCACACTACAACCATCAACTCTTAAAAGGCCGTTTGGACGTTGGATGTCCCAACCTAACCGCATACATACAGTATTCACTCTCGAAAACCCCTCGTCTGCCCTGAATAATAGGAGTGTAGTATAAGAGCTACGCTCGCTTCGCTTTGCTCCGCTCAAAAAACTGCTGGACACATCGGCCGTCAACAACAGACTCTCGACAACTGACATTCTGCAACATTGCTGAAATAACAGGATGTGGAAACCTGATTTTGGCGGGTGAAAAAAGTTGCCGAAGTATTGCTGGGAAACAACGATAACTTATATCTCTACTTTGGATTCAACTGTTCAATGTGCTCTACTGAAATTCCAACTTGCCAACACCCAATAACCATAAATCAGAAAATACAATTTTGAGAAAATTAAAAAAAAACCACAAGTGTATCATTATTAAATATTGTTTGCTAGAATTCACCAATAAATGTCCAAACAAATCATAGTTTAAATTTTCCTTAACCCTTTCAATGCTAGAATATTTTTTTGTAATTTTCCAAAAAGTGCTTGAGTTATTTACAGTACTTATATCGTCCGAGGCTTGCCACGTGGGCAAAGTCTAGAATGCGAGAAAAAGAATCTGTAAAAAAAATTGCATATTAAAAGTGATAAGGAATGATATATCAGGCCTCGATCAAATGAGGAATCGAAAGAAACCATCGCTCTTTCAAAACTACAAACGAGTCAACTGATATGCTCATTTAAAATCACATGATCGAAAGTCGCACCGGCACGATATATCATCCCTTAGCGCTTTTCGGATGAAACGCGAACAACGATATATTGTTCCATAGCACTTTTCGGGAAAAAGACGCACAACGATATATCGTTGCATAGCACTGAAAAGGTTAAGAAATTTCTGAAATCTACTTTTCTCTATGCACTTCTGTCTTCTTCCTCTTGGTGATGATTACCTTGAGTATCTTGTCGCCAGGCTGAAGCCCCTGTAGGCTGGCTGGACTGCCCGGCTGCACGGCGGTCACAAAGATGCCTACCTCGTTGCCACCTGTCAGTCTAATGCCCACCGATCCCTCCTTCTGGAATGTGATGAACCTGGGATCTGGCCTGTAGAAAGGACATTGAGAATATAATACTAATACATTCACACTCTAAATATTATAGTACCTTATGATTTGTTTATTGTATTATAATAAAACTTAAAATTAATATGCAAGTGAAATATTGTAAGAGGCATGTTTTTTAAGTAAGTACCGTTTTTAAATATCTCTGTTGCAGCGCTGCGATTGGCATTTTGGACATTTGTGCTGTGTATGTGCATCTATTGGCAAGCCTGTGCCGGAAATTCAGCAACAATCGGACGTGTTTACATCCGGTTTTGAGCATTCAAAATGGTGCCGCCAATTGAGACTGCTGCCTACTGTGAAGTGTGCGCTGGAGTTAGATTTTTAAGTGCTAAAAGTGTGTAAGCCATTAAAATTCATTGTCAGATTAGTGAAGTGTATGGTGAGAACATTATGAGTGACAGAATGGGGAATCGTACGCAAGTGAGTAAGGGCATTTAAAGACTGCCACACCAACGTTCATGATGAGCGGCCACTGGGTGGCCTGTCATTACTGATGAATTGGTGCGTGAAGTCGATGAAAAAGTGAGAGAGAGCAGTCGGTTTACCATCTCATCATTATCTGAGGAGTTTCCTTTACTCATAATGTTCTCGCCATACACTTCACTAATCTTACAATGAATTTTAATGGCTTTCACACCTTTAGCACTTAAAAATCAAATTCCAGCGCACACTTCACAGTAGGCAGTGAGTCTCAATTGGCGGTGAGAGCTGAGGATTTTAACCACTACTCTCGAAGGGTTGTGCTGCTCGTAACTCTCGATGTGCGAAATGCATTTAATTCCGCAAGGTGGTGCGATATGCTGGATGCTCTGGAGAACACCTTCCACGTTCCGGCATACCTCATGCGTATCATAGAGGATTATCTCCGGTTCCGCCTCCTCATGTATGACACTACAGAGGGCCCACGGACGATGAGTGTCACTTCCGGTGCTGCCCAAGGTTCCATAATCAGCCCGGACCTCTGGAATGTCGCGTATGACAGCCTCCTGAGGTCTGAAATGCCTGAGGAAACTGTTTTGGTTGGGTACGCGGACGACGTTGCAGTTTTGATAGCTGCACGTAGCGTCGAGCTGGTTCAGCTCAAGCTGAACTGAGTTATGCGTACTATAAACGCATGGATGACAGACCACGGTCTCTCGCTTGCTTTGAGCAAAACTGAGATCGTGTTATTAACAAAAAAACGGATTGACACCATAGTGCCGTTGAGGGTAGGGGCCGTCGAAGTCCAGACCGTTCGTTCTGCCAAGTACCTTGGGATTATGGTGGCCAGCAAGCTTAGCTGGTGGGATTAGATTTTCCGTACGGCGGACAAGGCCGCTAGGGTGGTCTCCTCTCTTAGCCGGTTGATGGCGAATGTCAGAGGGCCTCGGTCAAAGTCAAAGTCAAAATAAACTTTATTCGTATAAATACATAGCAGCATCAGAATAGAGTCTCATATAACTAAAAATCACATACTTTCATGCTATATAGCTAAAATACAATATATTTAAAACTATATATAAAACCCAGGCAACCAGTAGTGGAGCCCTCACTTAAGGAAACTCTGAAAAAGAATAGAGAGCTTTATTAACAAGATATTCTTTCTCAGCAAGTTTTTAAATTTATTATAATTTTGCTCATTTCTAATTAAATTTGGCAACTGAGTAAAACATTTGGTGCCCATATATTTAGTTTTGTTTTTATAAAAATGCAGATTATGTTTATCAAAAATAATTTTATTTTGGGTATCATAATGATGCTTGGATTCAAAAAATATATCACTTTCATGTTCTTTGACATACTTTATTGTTTCTAAGACATAATAACTGTAAACTGTCAAAATTTTAAGATCTTTAAAGAAGTTTTGACACTCTCTGTGCTTTTTAAACCTAACATGATTCATATTGCTTTTTTTTTTGTTTTATCAGAATTTTGTCCAAATTATATATTGAGGTAGCTCCATATATACAAATTCCGTATGCCAGATGAGAGTGTATTAAAGAATAATATATTGTTTTCAGCACTGTAAGGTCAGATATTTTTGACATTTGCCACAGTGCATATATTCCAGATGACATCTTTTTCACTACATTATCAACATGATCATTCCAAGATAGATGTCAATCAATGAAAAGTCCTAAACATTTTGTCTGATTTGCTTTATTTATTATGTTATTGCCAACTTTGATTTTTGGATCCAGAGCTATTTTATTTTGTTTTGTGGAGAAACTTGCTGTCATTGATTTGCTTGTATTTAATAGAAGGTTATTTTGATCTACAAAATTTTGAATACTCATTAAGTCCAAATTGGCTGAGAGCTCAATATCAGAACTGGAATTTCCTTTAACAATTAAATTAGCGTCATCTGCATATAGTGACATCGAACTGAAGCTGGTACTCTTAGGCAGACCATCCAGGTAACACAAAAAAAGTAATGGACCCAGGATGGATCCCTGAGGTACTCCATACTTAATCACCTGAGCTTCACAGACATAGTTTCTTAAATAATTACAATAATTACCATAATCTAGATATTTTATTTCAACAAACTGATGCCTATTACATAAATAAGAGGAAAACCAAGCACACTCTTTTCCTTGAATACCCAGTGATTTTAATCTTTCAGTCAAAACAGGGTGTGCCACACTGTCAAAAGCATGGGAGAGGTCAAGGAAAATACCTACTACCTTTTCACCCTTATCAACTGCATCAATTATGTTTTCAATAAATTCAACTGCAGCAGTTATTGTGGACTTCCCTTGCCGAAAACCATGCTGCTCTTTATCTAACAAATTATTCGATTCTAAAAAGTTTACTAACTGATTGTATACTACCTTTTCAAATGTTTTTGAAAAGGATGATAGCAATGAAACAGGTCTATAACAAGTTATATCTTTACGGTCACCTTTTTTAAAAATAGGGATAACTTTTGAAATTTTTAATTTGTCTGGGAAATGACCTGAGATGAAAGATGAATTAATTAGATGAACTAGGGGTTTAAGTAAAAATTGTGAAGATTTTTTATAAGGGTCATAGGAATACAATCGATACCAGTAGAATATTTATTGTCAAATAAAGAAATTACCTTTAGTAATTCCTCTTCTGTAATTGGTGTGAATCTGAATTTAGCATTAGTTTTTAGAGGAGGAACTTCCAGTTCGGTCCAGCCGTAGAAGGCTGTTAATGTCTTCTGTCCAGTCCGTACTCTTGTACTTTGCTGAGGTGTGGGCAGACGCTCTAAATAAGGAGGTATATAGGATGCGGCTCGCCCGAGTAGCATCCGCCTACCAAACAGTGTCCGAACCCGCCCGTCCTGGTGGTTGCTGGAGTCATCCCCGTCAAACTTTTGGCGGCGGAGAGAAAAGCAATTTATCAGCGCCGTGGGGAGGACCAGGCACGAACAGAGGAACGCACCCGCACCTACCAGCTGTGGCAGGAGAGCTGGGAACAGGAGACTCGGGAACGCTGGACCAGGCGACTGATGAAGCAAGTCCAACCTTGGGTTAATCGGCGGTGTGGAGAGGTGGATTTCTACCTCACCCAATTTCTGACGGGTCACGGCTTTTTCCGGTCGTACTTGTTCAGGATGGGCAAAGCCGTGTCACCCGATTGCATATACTGCCCAGGCATTCCCGATGACGTGGAACATACCATTTTCCACTGCCAGCGTTGGGAAAGGCCCCGCCTGGAGGCTCAACAGTTAGTAGGACTGCTGTCGGTGGACACGGTCATACCGATGATGACGGAGGGTGAGGACAATTGGACCTGTGTGTCACATTACATACAGGGTATTCTCCGCGCCAAGAAGCTCGACCTTGACCGGGGTCATGAAGTATCCAAATGCCAAAAACGGTGAGAGCCCTGAGGGCTTAGGTAACACGTTGGCCTGACTTAAAGTAATGTGACAAACAATTCCAGGTCTGTGTCCAACAGAGTAGAGGGGGTTTTTTAGTGAGTAGTCTGTGATAGATTCAGGAGTCTCACACTACAGGCGTGCTACCTGTGTGCGTAAAAGCATTTTCCCTCCTCTCCCTTAAAAAAAAAAAACCTTCAAACAAGTACAAAATATATAGAATTTTGGTTAGTTGTATAAGCATCTTTAAAATGAGCAAGAAACTTTCAGAAATCATCTCTGATCTCCTAATTAGAAAAATTCCTCGTTGTAGGGTATTGGGAGGGGGCTACCTCCCTGCACTGAAATATTACATAGAATGGAGACATAATCTGAATGGCAGGCGGGGGTCCAACCCGCCTTACCCCCAAAAATTTACAATGCCGCCCCTGAGTAGAAAAGGTTGGAGGCCCCTGGTTTAAAGTATTAAACTTGATAATACAGTAGTTTTCTCTTATTTTGTAAAAAAGGACATAACCACTTTGCTCACTACTTGCAACTTGCAACTATTCCTCATTTGGACTTTTCAACATTTAAGTGGTAATTTAATAAAATAGTAGTTCACATTGCATTTAGTTGCATTCACTCACTAAACTAGACTGAACACAACATTCATTTAATGGACACCTAGAAACCCCTACCAAGGAGATGTGCACTTAACAGAAGATAACGTCTAGAGCACATACACCAATACACCATCAGACGGCAGCATGAATGTGGTGACGTAGCTCAGTGTACATTCAAACTTTTAGGTTGGAATTCAGTTATAAAAGTAAAGAGTACTTGAACACAACTGTTTCTATGGCAGTGTTCTAAATTACTTATGACTTACATGGGTTGTTTGGACCTCTGCAGGAGTGGATCCTCCTCGTAGAGCTGTCTACTGCTACTGTAGTAATCTAAACATATCAAAATATCAAATAAAAACAAGTACTTAGTCAAATTACAATTTTTACTTTGATCAGACACCAAAAGTGTAAGGAAATTAACACAGAAACATTGATTTTTATATCTACTAGGCTATTGTATTCATTTTAATAATGGAGTAGGCTTAATTTATCTACCCTTTAATTAATAAGACAGTAGTTATGCCTAGGTAGAGTTTATTCCAGATCATCCCAAGTGTACGTACAAGTGCCTTAGATGCTGAAAACAAACCTATATTAGGTGATGATACCTAATTCTAATAATAGGCAACAACAACAATCACATCCTACCACCAGTGATTTCATTTATCGGATAACAGTTTTTTTTTTGTTTTTTTTATGCAAAAGAGCCAGTTATATCAAACAAATTGAAACCTAGCAAGGAGAACTATACCATTTTTTTTTTTTTATATATATTAATCTTTATTTACAATCAAAAACTGAAAAAATTACTTTTTATTCTTAGTAACACTTCTATTTATGTTGGGACTTGGGTAAGGTATGGAAAATGCATGAGAAAACATTATTATCATTATAGGTCCAATAACATACCAACTGCAAAATATTAATGGAAATCACTAACCAATCCAAGTGTACAATTACTGCGGTACAGTTTTAGTAACAAAATCAGATATGAACGGCTAGTCGAACCGTTTACCACCCGTGTACACGTTGACCTGTCATTGTCTCGATATAGTCAACATATTATGTAATATATGGTTATTTAAATTTTCCCTTGTCTGTTTATGTTTCTTTTGTTATCCCAATTTATGTCATTTTTACATGTGAGTTCTGTTAATGATTTTAATGCAAGTTATAACTTATTAATTAAATACCTAATTGTTCTTCCAAGTGCAGCTTTTTTTTGTGAGAAAATAAAACAATCTAAAAATGACCACTGGTCAATGTGTGCCACCTGTGGCAACACCCAGTATTGTGTAAAACAGCACATGACAAAGTTCTAATAAATGATGGCACAAGGTTCTAATGGCGCACATCCGAGTTTTATGGATCACTGTCTGTGGTACACATCAGAGATTTAATAAATATTTTTAAATCGGGAAAAAATACTAGGAGCGAACAAGTTAATTGCCAATCTGCATACCAAATACTTAGCTCTATGTTAATTTAGAATACAATTAACATGTTATTTCAGATCAAATTATTAATAGAAACATTGCTAATGTGTGTTCAGTGTCTTATTGTGAGGAAAACCCCAACAACAGCAACAGAAATTATGTTATACCACTACATTTCTATGTTAGTAATAAACACTGTTAGGAAACAACAACAAATTGATTTAACTTACTTATGTTTCCTCGGAAAACTGTCAAATAAAATAAAAAGTATTAATGGATTTACACCTAATAAACTCGATCCTAAACACGTTTAACTACAAACAACAAAAAGTCAAACACAAACATGGAAGGGAAAGACAATGTTTCACTGATATTTTGTACATTTTGCAAAACCATCTCATACAAAATTAATATTGGTAATAATATACATCATTTAAACCTTAAAACTTTGTTTTGTTTTAACAATAGCTAAGAAACGAGGCTTAAAGAGAATTCCATTTGTCTATTAGTTTTTTCTCTTTCTGGGAGTAGCTTTGTATTTAGATGTTTAACACATTAATTGTCAAAAGTTCCTAAGATTCAATATATATGGCGGAATTTAATCTAGGGAACATGAAGCCTACCTTGTTTTCTGGTAATTCTTTTAAAAGAATGGTCAAAATGTTTATGAACTTAAATTCAAATTATATATAGGCTACAAGGTTAGGCAAAAGTCTGGAACCCCCCAGTTAACCTTTTAACGCGTTGCAGTAGGAAAACCAAACTCCGCACATATTTACAACATAAGAAATTGCACTTTTTCATCAAAGTTGCAACTTTGCCTCAGCCCCCAAAATGGGGTATTTTGGGGGCAGCCCCAAATTTTCAAATGTAAACACCTATCATGTGACCCCTCATTTTAAAGGGTTTGTCCAGACAAATTGAATGGCGCAAACTAGAGGTCAGTATCGCACCCATAATCAAAATAGCAGCCATTTTAATTTAAGATGAGCAAGCACGATAAAGTCTGGAACCCCCCAGTTAACTTTATAACGTGTGGAAGTGGGAAAACCAAACTCGGCACATGTTTACAACATAAAGAAATGTAATTTTTCATTAAAGTTAGAACTTGTACCCGGCCCCCAAAATGGGGTATTGTGGGGGCAGCCCCAAATTTTCAAAAGTAAACACCTATCATGTGACCCCTCATTTTAAAGGGTTTCTCAAGACAAATTGAATGGCGCAAACTAGAGGTCAGTATCGCACCCCTAATCAAAATTGCAGTCATTTTTAAATATCCCCTATTAACTTTTTAACAGGATACAGAAGGAAAACTAAACTCAGCATACCTTTATAAAAAAAGAGAATTCACCTTTTGGTCAGTATTAAAATATTAATTTTTTAAAGTTAACTGGGGGTGTCCAGTCTTTATCTTTCTTGCTCATCTTAAATAATTAAAATGACTGCCATTTCGATTAGGAGTGCGATATTGACCTCTGGTTTGCGCCATTCAATTTCTCTTGATAAACCCTTTAAAATGAGGGGTCACATGATAGGTGTTTACATTTGAAAATTTGGGGCTGCCCCCAAAATACCCCATTTTGGGGGCTGGGGCAAAGTTGTAACTTTGATGAAAAGGTGCAATTTCTTATGTTGTAAATATGTGCCAAGTTTGGTTTTCCTTCTGCAACGCGTTAAAAAGTTAACTGGGGGGTTCCAGACTTTTGCCTAACCCTGTATAGTAGAATCTTTAACTTGATAGAAGTAAACATCCCCTCCCCTTGTGAAAGCTGAGTATTAGAGTCAAGAATTGAGCCACTTACTGTGCTAATGTAAGTTACTCTCCAATACGTCATTTCTTTAACCAACCCAAAAATAAAAGACGACTATAAGTGTACCTTATATGTCACATTATATGTCAACTACAGTATCAAAAACTATGAGGTTCAATGGAATTTCAATAGTAGCTCAATCTCTGAGTGGCTCATTCTAATTTATTCCGAACCAAAGGTGAACAATATTACAACCCTGGTATCAACAAGTCAGTGGTAAGAACTTACCTTCAGGTCTGGGCGGGGGTGGTCTAGGCGGGTCTGGAGGTTCATCTAGTCCACTGCGACTGCGGCTGTGCGTAGGGGAGGCTGGACGAGGGGGTGGAGGTGTGAGTGAGAGGCCCCCGTCTAGTAGAGGGCCCCGCGACCGTCCCCGAGGCACCAAGTTGCTCTTGTCATCCAACACGTTCTGTCTTGTCGGAGGCTGCACGTATAGGTTTTGTGATGTGTATGCATTGCCGTTCAACCCCTCAAGGTAATTGCCTGAAAATGAAAGATTGTTCATAAAATAGAATCATCTCAGAAATTACATACCTACCTTATTAATTGCAATGTCAACTTTTCACAGTACTTATTTTTTGCAGAAAGTGTCTAGGATCAATCATTTTATAGTCAGACACAATCGGTCATCAGACGCCTCAATAAATAAGACATGGGTTGATATCTGAATAATACTGGATTGTTGTGTGTGTTGTAACAGGAGTATCTTACCAGTCACTGATGAGTCGCAGACCTATCTGCGGTCCTAACGGTGATTCGTAGTGATTATTGGATAGAATAAGTACAGGCCTATTAAATACAGCTGTACAGGTGGGTTAATAAGTTGAATCAATCAGTTTCATAAATTGGAACTCGTTGGTTGAATTTAGTCAGTGGCGGTTCTAGGACCTTGTCAAGGAGGGGGCGACCGGTGGGGGGGGGGGGTTTGGGGGGAGTGGAGCAACCATTTTTAAGCTTATTAACTATTAACTATAAAGTTATATGAACTATAAACTTTATATTAACTATAAAGCCATTTTTAACACCTAAAACTGTGCCCATTGTCCATAAACTCCCATTTCACCTGTTGTTTCTCATGAGCAAATAGATATTTAAAATATTAAACTATGACGATTGCTTTCATGAATTTCAAAACACACTGTACACTACAGCCATATCCTCCTAAAAGCCGTTTGGTGAGTTAGGAGACAATTTGACAACTATGAATATGAAATCAGCTGTTTCCCTGACTGCTGTAAAAATTGGACGATGCGTACAGCTTTCCATAGCGTAATATTGTTTTATTCGTCTTGCTATTGCCCCACAAAGTTTATCCATGTGGAACTTAACTCTCCTGCTATCGCTTATTTAGTTTAATAAAAACTACATTGATGTCTGTTTTATGACATTGCGTGTTTTAAGTACGAAATGTATGATTAAATTTATTTTTCCGGGGTCCAAGGGGGGAGGCTTTAGCCCCTGTAGGCCCCCCCCCCTTGGAACCCTGAATTTAGTATTATTTTCAGTAATCTAACCATTTACTCTTTTGACATAATTGTCACATAAATGTCAAATTATAGTGTCAACTGTAACCAGTTAAGAAGATTTCATAGATAACTTACATATTGTTACAAAGGTAACTTACACGTTGTGTTATAACATTGTGACAAACACACACAATCATTTAATAAAAAAATAACAAACAGAATAAAGCCACAAGTCTAGAGCCACACCTTTTCCCTGCAGTGCCGTAGACTCCGTGGGGTAGGTTGAGCGAGGGGTGTCTCTACGGACCACCAGGTTCAGCTTCTCCTTGCTGCTCTCTATGAGCTTACGTGCTTCCTTGAGACTCATTCCATCTGTGGGGTGATTGTTGATCTTGAGAAGTACATCGCCCTCTTGTAGCTGCTGTCCTGCCCCAACCTCTCTCACAAAGATCTTGCAGCCCAGCACCAGGCCAAAGTCTGAACACACACAGAAATATCAACACAGGACACGTGAAAAGTCTTAAATAGGTTTGACGAGGTACTTTACAGTAATGATTTTTACATTTAACAATTGTTTTTCATTATTTACAGTGTGTCTGGTCTTTTTTCTTTTTATATAGGCCTATTGGTGTGATTTATTTAACTACATTTCAACTGAAAATGTCATGCTAATACAATCAATGGATTTTCAGATTTTCTAGTGAACCAGAGTCCTGCTAATCTAAACTAATTGGTACCAGACAATGTTCGGATTACCTCTTTTATTTGGACTTGCCAGAAATGTAGTAAAATTACATAAAACATCAAACCATGTACTTCTAAGACTATTAATATTGCTTTCCCAATTAAGTAAAAACCATAATTGTGGATTATCTATGGTTATAGAGCAATTGCGGCAACATTCTTGATCACCTTCCAATTAGTATACTGTACACTTACTCCCGTCCACCAAAATCCAAGTACGATTCCCCATTTTCCACGGATCCCATTCTCCTGTGCACCAAGATTAGAATTTCAGAAGCTATGTGACTTTGTTCATAATTTAATGACACAATAACCATTTTCTACAACATATGGTTTGGGCACTCATGTGCATTAGGATTGCCACAGACGTAATTAGGTGCATAGTATTCACTCAACACTTTGTCCTTACTTGCAACCTATAGCAAGAATAGAGTTGAATAGAATTTTTGCTTCTCTCTCACACTCAAATTTAATTGTTATTTTGGCACATTTTTCAATTTAGTTATGGATATTATTTATTTTATTAGTAGATATGATTTCATCAGTTATTACCGTCCTTTTTCCTGGTCTTGGTGAGCTGCAGTCGCAGAGTTTGTGGTTCAGGTGAGGCTGGCAGAACCACCCGACGTCGTACAGTGAGTGCGACTGTGTTGCCACTGTCACGCAACACCTGAACAGCTGTAGCATACTCTACGTTGTCAAGAGACACTCCATTGGCTGACATGATCCTATCATTGACACTGTAACATCATAGTCCAGTCAGTTCTTTCATTTAATTTATCTAAAATTTGACTGAAAGAAGCAGGAGGGGGGTGGCTGGTAGAGCACAGAAAAATAAGTTTAAACAAGGAGAGTTTGTACTGCCATTTTGACATTTAAAATATTTGATGGTTTGTTATTATTGCAAATTGAAAAATTTTTATCATATTACTTGCTATTAAAAAAAATTTTTTTATCAATTCAAGTTGTGTTATTGCATTATTTTAACAATTTGTGTACAAATGCCATGGAAAACATTGTTTATAGTAATGGTTGATTATAATTCAATTAACTAACTAATAAGTTTGCCAACCTTGAGGCCCTAACATTATTTTTGCTCGGGGACTCCTTTATCATTAGCAGTCCGGCACTGTTTTATCCTTGGAGTTTTTTTCTTCAAAAAATTACCGGCTAGTAGTACACAGAAAATGCAAAAAGGGTATTGACGCAATTAAAAGTGTGTGTTTAAGAACAAATATGATTAGATAAAAGCTCAAAGATAGCTTAGCTAATAATTTACTAAATGGCAAACCACAGGGAAGCCCGACCTATTAATATTAATAAGTCTACCACCGCAATGCAGAATACTCTGAAGTTCTCTTCTATGTTGAAGATAAAACATTCAAATGGTATTTTCCTATTGAAGGGATAATGCATGAGATGCCTTGGCACAGGAATAGTGACTTCAATAAAAGATGGGATGCAGCCAGGGTTATGGTCGCAATAAAGGAGGTTGTGACACAATAAATATAAACCTGCTCACTTTTACTGCCACCACCACTTTCTTTTATCACCTGTGTCTGGATTTCTTCCACTAAGATTGCTCCCTATGTGTCAGTTTGCAGCCTTACAAACAGCTTGCAATGCCTTTCCTCCACATATATTCCCTTGCTTATACTGTTTATTCATATTGGCGGATAACATGTTTACCTAATCAAGAAGTTGTGTTAGTGTAACCGTGAGAAATTAAATGCAAATATAACATTTTTGTCTAAACCATTGACGTTTTTAAAATTTAGTAGTATAGCCTATATTTAAGTAAAAAATAATACTTTTTAATATCTGAATTAAAGTAGTTTATTTTAAAATTAGACTGCTAGGCCTACTTTTGAAAATAAATACTGAGCTTAAATCTTTGAATGAAGAAAAATGAAGGATTTCTAATAGGCTAGTGTAGAACAAAATATATAGCTTTAAGGTTTCCTTTTTGTGTTCAATTTTCGTGTTAGAAAACAAAAGCTCTTTTGAAAATTATGCTTTGCCATGTTCATACAAATTAAAATCAAGTTTTTATAGGCCTAGTTTAAAAATATAGACATAAAAGGGTTTTTTTACAATGACAATTAAAAACATGCTTGGAGTAGAAGAACATTATTTTACACTGAAACTACCTTGACACATCAAAGGAAAGGTGATATAAGGATCCTATCATATCATGGAGGGAAGCCAGAGAATATTACTTTTACGTTTGGTCAGCAAATTACGCCTATTATCATAAGGTTTTTATTTTCTTACCCACAGCAACTACATATATGAAGAAATGTTATTTAGAATGCTTTTGGGTTTTTATGTTTTTAAATTAGAGCTTTTAGAGTAATTTTTCATTTCATTTCATTTCAATATCTTTATTCAATACAATTAATTATACATTGTACATTGAATAGTGTAAATATTCTTAACCTTAGAAAACAAACCTTACAGTTATAGGCAAAAATTACTTCAAAAATTACAATTTATACAATAGAAACAACTAATAAAATCAAGTTAATTGAGGAAACGCCTTTTTAATGGAGTAAGAAGAAATTTCTATAAGATACCGTAACTTTTAAATTCTTTTTCAAATTTGCTGCTGCAAATTTCTTTAAATTATTTGGAAGAAAATGTAAAAACCTTCTTCCGGCACATCTGGGTTTTTTATTTGAAAAGAAAAGATACGAAGAAATGAAAAGAAAAGATTGTGACTCTTTTTTCTTAGAGCTTCTTCTTGTATTGTGGCATAATAGTACGTTATCCTGTATACCGTCTTTAGCAATGAGAGCCGTTTCAAAAATGTATTGGGCAAAGACCGTTAGTATTTTTAAATTTGTAAAATGAATGTTGACACTTTTATCACTTTTTAGTCCCTGCATTTTGCTGTAATTTTAGGATTCGAATAAGATTTTTCTTTGTTGTAGCTTCTATAAAGATATACTGTATGAAAAATGGCTATGGATAAGAGGTATATTGTTTTCAAAGTACTGATATTAGGCCTACATAGATAAGACATCTTTTTCATTGCAAATATCCCTGAATTTATCTTTGCACAGGCATCAACGTGGTCCTGCCAGGATAGGTGCTCGTCAATTTTCAAACCTAAAAAAACTATTTTTTCTACTTGTTTGATTTCATCCGAATCCAAACAAATCAGCTCTATTTTGTTTCTACATTGGCTGGAAATAAAACTACATTGGAAATAAAACTAGTTTTATTATTGTTTATTTCGAGATTATTAGATATAGTAAGTACCGTACTGTAATTTTTAATATTTGCAAGTTCTATAAAGGTATTAATTTTGATGTGTTGCTGTTTGACCAGGCCTTTCTTCGTATAAGATCTCTTATTAATTGTCTCCTCCTCCTGTTTTCAATAATTATTTTTTGAACTCGAGGCATTTTCTGATCTTCCATCAAAACTTAATAACTGTTTACATTTAATTTTATTGGTCTATAGCCTGGTGGGGCACACGGAAGGGACTATGGCCAACATGTCTTGTAGTGTCAGCGTTCACCGCTAGAACCGCTACGGTAAGTTGAAAAAATGTTAATAATTTTTTTTTTTTTTTTAGTTATAAAATTAACTATTTAATTATAAAATAAAATTTTTATTAAAAAAATAAACTGTCATAACCTAACCTAACCAACCAAACTTGCTGATAATATAACAAATAAGATAAAAATCAAATGAATGTTAGGTTATAATTTCTATAATAAATTAATTTTAAAATTTAGTATTATAAAATTAAATTGTCATAACCTAACCTAACCAACCAAACTTGCCGATAATATAAAAAAGCAGATATAAGATAAAATCGAATAAAGCTTTACTATTTTAAAAAAGTGCTGTTCATAAATAAAATTATAAATGCATCAAATTCTAACAAAAGATGTACAGTTATTCGCATTCTAAGAAAAATCTTTGACAAGAAGTTAGTGTCCCCGGCTGGTTTCGAACTGGAGACCTCCTGAACACCGAACACCAGTCCGAAACGCTATCAAGTGCCGCTGGAAACACATCATCTCGTTAGGGTAATCGTGTTGCCTCAAGAGAAGACATTAGCCACTAGAGATCTCCCGTGTGCCCATCCGGTCCATAACCTCCTGAATATTACTACAAACATCAATATTTAATCCCAAAAAATCTGCTAAGTTTCTTTTTATACACAGCTGATTTTTTTATCTGTTAGGTCATTCTTATGGGGGGGGGCGGGGTGTGTGGAATCAAACTTTGTGAGCGAACGCCCCCCATCCCCTTAAGAGTAAGAATATTTAAATTCTAAAACTTTATAAAAAAACTGCATATTGAGACAAATTTTGACACCTCAAACGTTGAAATTGGTCCATAAGTAAGGGAGGAGTAGTGTTCACAGAAAACGGCTTCACTTTTTATATACAGGGTGATAAAAAAAGTCTCAACACACCCAAAAATAAATTAAACTGCCATATTATATGCTGCCTTTTCTAGCTTTTTACAAGAAATAAAAATTTTGCCCCCCTCCCCCTTTTAGGGTAGATAGGGAGCAACTCAACATTTTCAAATGTAAATACCCATGTTGTAACCCATAATTTTTTCATCAATTTAAAGGTCTTAATTAGTAGAATACAATGCTACAAATTTGAACTCAAACGGATAATCGAGTTGAAAATGGCAGCCGTTCAAAGATATCTTCAATCTGCCATTTTGAATCTTTGAACGGCTGCCATTTTTTACTCAGTTGGTCTTTTGAGCCCAAAGTTGTGGCATTGTACTCTGCTAATTAAGACCTTTATATTGATCTATCCATACGTTTGTTATTTTCCTCCGACTTCTAGCGGGCCATCCCTCTGAGGAGGTACCGCATAACTGAATTATTATGTGTTAAAATGGTTTTAATGCCCTGCCCAGTAACTGTGTACCAAGTTTTGAAGCTCTATCTTTATTAGTTTTTGAAATATTTTATCATCCCGGGACTTTTTTCCACCCTGTATATGACCATTAATTTGTATTTTTTGTAAAGATTGTTCAATTACACCAAAAGAATTCTTTTTTACCAGACTTTTAAAATGGGGGTCACAACATGGCACCTCCTTCCGAATCTTGGGATCTTGTACCAGGTGGAACACGCATATCTACTTCTGACAACAAAGCAAGCATGACAAACCTATTTAATAGTTTAGAAAGGAAAATGTCATCACATACACAACGCCTGAAGCCATGAAGATCATGAATTGGGCCCGCTCGCAATAGAGCCACAGTCACCTCCCGAGGGACGGAAACTCAGGTTTAGTTGTCAAACAATTCTAAACTAACCAACCAAACTTGCTGTAACATTTCGAAATTCTGTTTTATATTCCCCACATGCCTTTTCTATTATCCAACGGAATTACTCGAATTAAAATTACAATTACATAGCATGATTTGTCTAGGGGGGTTTATTTGTCAAGCAATTAAGCCCTTAATTACACCCGAATATCTCGACTAACTCAGCGGCACCGGGGTACATGGTTTTATCATTAACTCATGCTTCTTTAATTCAGAATAAATTTTGCTCAAAAATTAATTTTTATATTTTGATCAAAGTGGTTTAGTTTAACACAATTTGTTAAGTGTGCGTTTTCTGAAATAAGCTTTGGCGAATATCAGTTTTCTGTGGAAACCTCTAGGAGACTTTGTCCTTTTGCTTTTGTTCACAGGCATAAACTACAATATTTAAAAATTTGAGTTGCCCCCTATCTGCCCTTAAAGGAGGTGAGGGCAAAATTTTGATATCTTGCAAAAAGCAAGAAAAGTCATCATATAAATATAATAATATGTTGAAGTTGCAAAATTTTATCTTACGCCATTTAATTTATTTTTGGTGTGTTAAGACTTTTTAAACACCCTAGTATGGAATAGAATAGATAGATTTAGTTGAACTAAGTATGTATTTTCAGGGCTTGTCATAAAATATTCATTTACCAAATATTGAAAAAGTCAAGGAAATAATACAAAAAATGTTGAAAGTTTACCTAAATTTTAGGGAAAGAGGTTTTCAACTATCCTAATCCTTACAGGTCAATATTTAAATTCCTGACTGAAATCGTTCACTGAAACCTAGATACAAGCCGAAGCCTCACAAAACAGGTGCTGGTAATCCAACACAATCAATCTAAGAATCCTTATACAGAGTAGGGATTTATCAGGTGTCAGTGACACACAGTTCAAAAAACATTCAAACCAAATAAATATGTGCTGATGTAAAATACGTCCCTTATCTCTCAAAGATATTGGAACTATATTTTAAGACTGAGGTGTTTGCTTAAGTAATATTTTTGAAGGGATAAATCTTTAACAAAATGTTTTAGTTCTACGTTAAAAGCGTAAAATAAATTCAATTCAAAACTATCAACAAGTTAAAAAAAAATTCCCTTAGCACTAGGTCTACTCGACAACTTGAACAAAGTTTCCTGTTACAAGCAATGATAAATAATGGTCTATCATTCAAAGTGAATACGGCTTTAAATAACTGTATCTTTCAATTATAACTGTAACTTGCAAACTTTCAATTGCAAACAAACTTCAATAGAAACCTTTGTAGTAAATCTGTAATAGTTGAAATCACTTATCTTAGTCTTACTTAACTGGTTTGGATTTCCTTTGAAAAATGCATTAAACTGCAACTTACAGGACCAAAAAGGGAGAAAACTACAATATAAAATATATGTAATGTTTCAATGTAATTCCGCACCTTTCAGAAACAAAACCAAAGCAATAAATAGCTTATTCCCTATATTGGGAAATCGACTAAAAAGGGGGAAGTTACTGTATAAAATATGTAATGCTAAAATTTATTCAGCAACTTGCAGTAGCAAAACCATTAAAGCAAATAAATAATACTAATCCATTACAATGATCTAAATTCCTTTATAGCATTACTATTTCCATATAAATCGGATAAAGGATCTCTTGCTATATTAATTTATAATCATTTTTTTCTTATTTACCAATATTAAATTAGTTTCAGATAAGTTTTGTATCGTTAAAAAAGATCAGTACATGTACTTTTGCATTACCATATTGGAAAATAAAAGGTAGCAAATAATTAACGAGAACTTATTTTATCATGCAAATCGGAATTCTAAACATGAGAATGTTGTATGATGAAGTAAACCGCAGTTATTAGCGTATGTTATTGGCAACTATTCAAAATCGATATTTCTGGTTGCATAGGGTACACAATTTCAATTAAACACAGAGACTTTTTACAATTTTACCTAACCCGCCATGTTAAACTTCCCTATCCTAAGCGTGATGTATACAACTTCCTTACTTCTCGAGTGATGTAAAGTATCAAAAAACTCACTCGGTGATGTAATGAAACCCATTTAAATAACATTGAGTGGATAACTTAAAAAATATAACTCTATGGAGCCAACGACGTTTAACGCTAGAAATCAGCTGTGTGCTTGAATTTTATTGTTATTGTTATGTTTTGGAGAATTTTCATAACCTAGCTTTTGTTTGTAAATGAACCTTACTGTTATAAGATGAGTGAAATGGGTAATGAAAAATATTGTTCGTAACCTCCTGTATATTGTCGGGTCAGGTAAAATCTTGTACGTTACACGTTACGCAAGAGCGTGTTTACATCACTTAGGGCCGGCGCGCACTATCCCGACCACGACCACGACCACGACTCCGACTGGTCGGATACGACCAGTTTTATAATAGGAATAAATAAGCGCGCACTGGTCGACTGGTCGGACCCTGGTCGGGCCCTGGTCGCACGACCAAAATTTTCCAGTTTGGTCGGGCCCGACCCGCTGGTCGTTGCAGCCAAAAATAGCACACAATGTAATGGGACGACGCGCACTACCCCCGACTTGCCTCCGACCCGACCAGTACACCACTCAACCCCCAGTATTCCTAGATCAATCAAACGGTAAGCACTAGTTTTTTGCGCCGGTCTGTGAAGTGACTCATTTGATAAAATGTCGCAGGATTTTGACACTTTTGAAACCTGTCTTCATATTGACGTAGCTCTTCATAAAATGTTGCAAAATGCCCTTTCAGACCTAACAGTTAACATTGGATATACCCAGTATAGTGTCTTCTTCCGCTTAACGTTACTTACAATACAAATGCACCATAACAACTACTTCTTCAACAATCATCTTGACACTGAAGTTTGTAAAACATTCGTTGCCTTGGTCGGGTCGTGGTCGGGTCGTGCTCTGGTCGCATGGTGAATGACAACCACTGGTCGGGCGTTTGGTCGTGGTCGTGGTCGTGGTCGGGATAGTGCGCGCCCGGCCTAGGTAAATTATGCAACTCGCTTCGCTCGTTGCACAACTTTCACCTGCGTGATGTAAAAACGCTCTTACTACACTTGTAATGTAAATAGCTATTACTTATGTTTTTCTCCTAGCCGCACCTTTTGCACGTGCCTAGGCCGGCTTTTGGTCAAAAAGTAAGTTAGTTTATCAACACATTTAACCATCACGAGTCAAATTAAGTACAATATGAGAGACAAATTATTCACAACAATGTGCGGTTTAAGTCAGAGGGTGGTAAAAAGCCATGAACTATTGGACCATGATCAAGACAACAGCTGGTAAACTCACAGCAGCTTTCCCTCGGCTGGTCCTGCCTTGAGAACATCTGATATCGCGATGGCAGGATCTCCGTTGGTGAAGTGTGGGTTGTCCCGACCCCCAGACACCGCGATGCCGAACCCATACCCGGGTACTCTGGTCAACGTGACATGGTGAAACTCCCATACCACCCGCTCTCCTCCCTGGAACACAACACTACTGCTTAGCAACAGAGGAACAGGGTACGGTACTCTGGTCAACGTGACATGGTGAAACTCCCATACCACCCGCTCTCCTCCCTGGAACACAACACTACTGCTTAGCAACAGAGGAACAGGGTACGGTACTCTGGTCAACGTGACATGGTGAAACTCCCATACCACCCGCTCTCCTCCCTGGAACACAACACTACTGCTTAGCAACAGAGGAACAGGGTACGGTACTCTGGTCAACGTGACATGGTGACACTCCCATACCACCCGCTCTCCTCCCTGGAACACAACACTACTGCTTAGCAACAGAGGAACAGGGTACGGTACTCTGGTCAACGTGACATGGTGAAACTCCCATACCACCCGCTCTCCTCCCTGGAACACAACACTACTGCTTAGCAACAGAGGAACAGGGTACGGTACTCTGGTCAACGTGACATGGTGACACTCCCATACCACCCGCTCTCCTCCCTGGAACACAACACTACTGCTTAGCAACAGAGGAACAGGGTACGGTACTCTGGTCAACGTGACATGGTGACACTCCCATACCACCCGCTCTCCTCCCTAGAACACAACACTACTGCTTAGCAACAGAGGAACAGGGTACGGTACTCTGGTCAACGTGACATGGTGAAACTCCCATACCACCCGCTCTCCTCCCTAGAACACAACACTACTGCTTAGCAACAGAGGAACAGGGTACGGTACTCTGGTCAACGTGACATGGTGAAACTCCCATACCACCCGCTCTCCTCCCTGGAACACAACACTACTGCTTAGCAACAGAGGAACAGGGTACGGTACTCTGGTCAACGTGACATGGTGAAACTCCCATACCACCCGCTCTCCTCCCAGGAACACAACACTACTGCTTAGCAACAGAGGAACAGGGTACGGTACTCTGGTCAACGTGACATGGTGAAACTCCCATACCACCCGCTCTCCTCCCTGGAACACAACACTACTGCTTAGCAACAGAGGAACAGGGTACGGTACTCTGGTCAACGTGACATGGTGAAACTCCCATACCACCCGCTCTCCTCCCTGGAACACAACACTACTGCTTAGCAACAGAGGAACAGGGTACGGTACTCTGGTCAACGTGACATGGTGAAACTCCCATACCACCCGCTCTCCTCCCTGGAACACAACACTACTGCTTAGCAACAGAGGAACAGGGTACGGTACTCTGGTCAACGTGACATAGTGAAACTCCCATACCACCCGCTCTCCTCCCTGGAACACAACACTACTGCTTAGCAACAGAGGAACAGAGGAACGTTCAAATTAGCCACAACTGTGCAAGTGTAAACTAACTCATTGGCACGGAATTGTTCAATGGATTTTTTCAATGATTTAGTAATGAATAAAACTACAAAATTGTTTTTCATTCAAATTCATTGCTTCAAGAAACAGTTCGTAAAAGAGTTTATTACAAACGCGGAAACGACAATACTGCGCGGACCGAAATGGGACTTTCTTGACAAGTAGTGAACGATACCTTTCATCACAATGCAAATAACCGCAAAAAAGGTTCTTGGTTGTAAATAATAAAATATTTTTACACTAGCAACAGAGCCCGTTGTGGTCTCTAGGATAATAATGGTTATGAAATCCATACACCACTTTACTCACTAATAATTAATTGCACAGATTAAGCACATAACTTTAGAAACACTTCATGAGTAAAACACTTTTTCGCTACACTACTGTGAAATGACCTGTTTTCGTTACATGTATATCACCTGCGGAAATCCATCATTACATTGTTTACTATGGAAAAAGAATGTTTACCATGCTAAAGTAATGTTTACAATCTTTTTTTGGATTTTGCCAACGTAAACAAAACATAGGTGCTCCCACGAATAGTACACGGATGTATGGTGCAATATTTAAAAATGCCATTGCACATCACCTATTATAATGTTATAATAATCTATATTCTAAGCAATATCAAAGCGTTGTATGTATTACTCTTTAGAAAAGACATTTTTAAATTCAATACTCTTTCCTTACTGCTATACTGGTTTTTAAATGTTTTTTTGTTGTTGTTTTATCATGGCGATGGATAATAAAACTTATATGAAGTTCAAGTTAGTTAATATAATTTATTTTAACTACGTCCAACCTGTAACTAGCAAAATCGGTGTCAGTAAAATATGGAGTGATAAATATACCGCGGTGACAACCCCAAAGTTGGCGGGAAGGGATGATTATCAGCCACTGCCTCCATGATCGATGCCATCTCGTGATTGACGACCGAGCTCTGTCGTCGCCATAGAGTAATAAACAACAGCACCGTTATAAATATGAATACCACGGCTTATACAAATGTATCTAGATTATTAAATATATTTTATAATTTTAATCACATAAGTAATAACAATTTTTGAGTGTCATAACACCGCCGCAACAATAAATAAATAATCATTAATCCTCGGTAAACTCGAGATAAAAATATAAATTAGTCGACGATGGTTTTTCAGTGTGTTTTGTGAATACAAAAATAAATTTCAGGTACACTTATGATAAAAATATGTTGCTGCAAAAGTACAAACATGGTTTTAACTTCTGTTTCAAAATAATAAAAAAATACTGTTCACGCGATGATGTAGAAAATTCTACTTAGGAGATTGTGTATGGGACGTATTGGATACAGCGTTGTCACGTTTAATTTGTGCAACAAATATAACTTTATTTCACAAGTAGCTACCCCAGTGTAGCGTCCACAACGATGCACGGACAGCTAGTAACTATTGTCCACACCCTAACACATGATCGCCTCAAGATATTTAGAGCTCGGAGATTTAACGGCCACTGAGTTGCACGGTCATTAAACATGTCACAACATTGAAACTAAAATGTGAGTGAGAGTTCAAAGCAGAGAAGTAGCAGACACTAGCCACTCAACCGCGAGTCTCGACGTATCCATCCACTGTAGCACAACTCTCTCTCTCACACACACGCACTGACGTCGCAGACACTAGCCACTCAACCGCGGGTCTCGACGTATCCATCCACTGTAGCACAACTCTCTCTCTCACACACACGCACTGACGTAGCAGACACTAGCCACTCAACCGCGGGTCTCGACGTATCCATCCACTGTAGCACAACTCTCTCTCTCACACACACGCACTGACGTCGCAGACACTAGCCACTCAACCGCGTCACGTCTCGACGTATCCATCCACTGTATCACAACTCTCTCTCTCTCACACACACGCACTGACGTCGCAGACACTAGCCACTCAACCGCGTCACGTCTCGACGTATCCATCCACTGTAGCACAACTCTCTCTCTCACACACACGCACTGACGTCGCAGACACTAGCCACTCAACCGCGGGTCTCGACGTATCCATCCACTGTAGCACAACTCTCTCTCTCACACACACGCACTGACGTCGCAGACACTAGCCACTCAACCGCGTCACGTCTCGACGTATCCATCCACTGTAGCACAACTCTCTCTCTCTCTCACACACACGCACTGACGTCGCAGACACTAGCCACTCAACCGCGTCACGTCTCGACGTATCCATCCACTGTAGCACAACTCTCTCTCTCACACACACACGCACTGACGTCGCAGACACTAGCCACTCAACCGCGTCACGTCTCGACGTATCCATCCACTGTAGCACAACTCTCTCTCTCTCACACACACACTGAAGTCGCAGACACTAGCCACTCAACCGCGGGTCTCGACGTATCCATCCACTGTAGCACAACTCTCTCTCTCTCACACACACACACTTAAGTCGCAGACACTAGCCACTCAACCGCGGGTCTCGACGTATCCATCCACTGTAGCACAACTCTCTCTCTCTCACACACACACACTGAAGTCGCAGGCACTAGCCACTCAAACCGCGGGTCTCGACGTATCCATCCACTGTAGCACAACTCTCTCTCTCACACACACACACTGAAGTCGCAGACACTAGCCACTCAACCGCGGGTCTCGACGTATCCATCCACTGTAGCACAACTCTCTCTCTCACACACACACACACTGAAGTCGCAGACACTAGCCACTCAACCGCGGGTCTCGACGTATCCATCCACTGTAGCACAACTCTCTCTCTCTCACACACACACACTGAAGTCGCAGACACTAGCCACTCAACCGCGGGTCTCGACGTTTCCATCCACTGTAGCACAACTCTCTCTCGCACACACACAGCAGACACTAGCCACTCAACCGCGGGTCTCGACCATCGAAGTATATAAGCTAGGCGCCCACCGGGCAACTCAGCGGGTGACGCGGCGCGGCGCGACGCCGTGGAAAAAAGTTGCCACGTATCCGTGCCATGTTATCTTATGGACTGACGCCCACCTAGCAACCCAGCGGGTGGCGCAACGCGGCGCGGAAAAAAAACTTCTTCTCGAATCCGGCAGTGAGAATTCGGTGGAGAATTTCTTCCTCTCGTGTTGCCGCGCCTCCGTTGAGTTGCCTGGTGGGCGCGGGGTAGAGGCACGGAAACGGCGTCTGCCCCTCGTCTGCCGCTCATTCGGGTGTTTTCGGAAAGTGTCGCGAGCCCTTCGGGAGTGTTCGGGTCCGAATCGAAGTGCACTGTGCATCCCCTCCAAAAGAATTAATCTCCGCGCTGCCCCGCGCTTCCGCTAGAGTTGCTTGGTGGGCGCGAACCCTGGAGGGAGAAGCGGACGGAAGTTTTTCTCCGCGTCGCGTCACCCGCTGGGTTGCCCGGTGGGCGCCTAGCTTAACACAACTGGATCGCCGGGTAGATAGGAGATGTGGGATAAAAAGCGCGCCGTTTCGGTAACCTTCCTTCACCACTATGGGGGACCCAACGCAGATATGTCAGTTCCTCAAGCCGTGCACGCGGTTGTTAATACGCTCCTGGCCGTGCATACAAAAAGTTGACTGCAATTAAAGTCATATATTCGGAATCTGCATTAACTGCAGAATCTGACAGTATAAATATAATCTTATTTAAATCATAATTCGAATTTTAACAACT